AGATTTGGGTAGTGCTTCTAATTGCTCGTGTCGCGTGGGAAATGTACACTTTGGATCGCCCAGCCGGGTCAACTAGGTCACGGCGAGACAATCAGAGCATGCGCCAGTTCGATTTTACACAATGAGCATGAGCGAGCGCTGTATAAAAGATCGCTTAAGTTGATTTCGCTGGGAGGCTAACCCTAATTGGGACTAACTTTTGGGGCTATGGACACGACTCCGTAACAAAAAAAATTTGCCAGTGTCAGCATTGGAATGGTTTTTTTAATCAAGGGAACCATACCGGTAAAAAATTTTGACCTTTTTCTGATCAGGTCCAAGACTTGCACATTTTGCCGTTCAAAAACTTGCACGTTTCAGCGGGTCCCGTGTAAACGGAAGGCGGGTCCGTGCAAGTTTTTGTCCGTTCAAAAATTGCTCCGCACCAGTGTAAACGGGGTCGCCAACCTAGATGTTAAGCATAGTTCGTGAGCAAGGGGGAGAGGGTTGAGGGGCTGTGGTGGTGGGGGAGGGGGGCTCAGTGCAGACCTACCTTGTTATTGTCCAGAGTTGCATGGTAGTTATCCGGCAGTTCCTGGTACTCTGCCACAGCCGGGGGGAGAGGGTTCAGGGGGTGTGGTGTGGTGGGGGGGGGCTCAGTGCAGACCCACCTAGTTATTGTCCAGAGTTGTGCATGGTAGTTATCCAGCAGTTCCTGGTACTCTGCCACAGCCGGGGGGGAGAGGGTTCAGGGGGTGTGGTGTGGTGGGAGAGGGGGGCTCAGTGTAGACCTACCTTGTTATTGTCCAGAGTTGCATGGTAGTTATCTAAAAGTTCCTGGTACTCTGCCACAACGCGCCGATGCTCATGTTGAAGTTTTAGAAATTCTTTCCTACGAAAGTGTAATGTCAAATTAGTTTATAATACTGATAATGCATGTAATGGCAGGGATTAAGGAGGCACGTCCTGAAGACTCGCAAGACCGGTGAGCTGTGGTTATCAGTTTTCCGGCCGAGGGCTAAGTTCGTCAACTAATGACTGAGACACACTAAGACATTTGACACGAAAGAACCAAACAATCATCTTGTTGGGAGTTGTATCGGTTTTTGTTGTTGTTGTTTCTTTTATTTTAGGCAATCTGTGCCTGGTAGCTGCAAAAAGAACTGAAAAAATTATACGAAAGACGCACAAGGAAGGGGGTTGATAGCAGTCCCCTAAAACATCTCAAATTCTTCTCCTTCTAAGATCAAACGACAGAGCGAAGATCAGTATGCGTACTCCTTCGTCAAAAGCGATAACCACTGTGATATAAACTAACTCTTCTTCACTTTTAAATGCTATTACTAAATGAATTATGAAATTCCCTGCAACATCAACCTGTTCCCTAGGAGGTCCGTCAAGGTTAATAAGAAATCAAATACTGTCTGTAAACAAGTTTCCAACATCGACTACGGCTTTACAAGAGAACTGTAATACACAGGCCACCCAAGTGAAAATTTAACTGTATTATTACACAGGGAACCTAGTACATACTCATCTGCTCCGTGCTTTGCACGTGTTTTCTGTAATTCCCCTTCACTATTTGACAGTTTCGTTTGAAGGCTTTTGATGATTTCATCTCTCCTCTGTCTCTGGTTTTCACTATCTTGTGTTATTTTATGAAGATGGTCTTGATACATATTTTCCCTAAAGAGAATAAAAGAAGTTAAGTCGCCCGAAACTCTAATAAAGGGTGAATGCAATATGTTTGTTCTTTAAGCGAAAATGAGACGAAACAAGCGGGATAAACTTCTAATATATCTCGTTCTTTAAACGAAGATGAGACGAAACACGGGATATATGTGTAATATACCTCGTTTATAAAGCATTGATGAAACGAAACAACGCGAAAAAACGCGTAATACATCTCGTTCTTTAAACGAAGATGAGACGAAACACGGGATGTATGTGTAATATACCTCGTTTATAAAGCATTGATGAAACGAAACAACGCGAAAAAACGCGTAATACATCTCGTTCTTTAAACGAAGATGAGACGAAACACGTGATATATGTGTAATATACCTTGTTCATAAAGCATTGATGAAACGAAACAACGCGAAAAAACGCGTAATACATCTCGTTCTTTAAACGAAGATGAGACGAAACACGAGATATGTGTGATATACCGCGTTCATAAAGCATTGATGAAACGAAACAACGCGAAAAAACGCGTAATATATCTCGTTCTTTAAACGAAGATGAGACGAAACACGGGATATATGTGTAATATACCTCGCTTATAAAGCATTGATGAAACGAAACAAGCGCGAAAAAATGCGTAATACATCTCGTTCTTTTCAACTTTTAATGCTTTAATCAGACTATAATTATTCTGAAATTTCATCCGTCTCGTAACCCCTTCGGATGACATTCAGGACATTCCAGACTAATGAAACGAAACAAGCCCGATAAATGTGTAATAGGGATGCTATGACGTCGTTGAGAGGAAGAACTTTCGGGTGAGACAACTCTTTCGGGCGACTAACTCTGGCACCGGGCGACATAACCTCGTTCAAGATGACTTCCGGGCGACTTGACCATAAACCGTTGTTCATACTTTACCGGTTAGCTTTTCGCGTCAACATGAAAAGCTATTTGATATAATATACATGCGTCCAACGCGCGCTTGCTATTTTCCGATTATTACTATTTTATTGGGATACCTAGCGGGAGCCTCTGCGGAGGAGAGAGATATACTTCTCACACTCAACTAGGTGCCATGCCAAGCCGACCATGCAGCCTGACCTTTTTATCAACACTAACAATCATTAGCGTTAGAGCACCAAAAGACAGCTAACAAAACGGTTGATACTGAGCCTAGATTCAAGATTAACATACAAGAATAACCCGAACTAAGGCACTACTTGAAATCCTACGACCACCCAAAAAACACATGGAGAGTGGGTGGGTGGGGAAGGTCAGGCAGTGGTGGAAGGCGACAAAAACAACTGAACTCTGAAACGCCATGTGACCTGAAGACCCCCCGCACACTCGAACCCATACTCCCAGCCGTGTGTGAGAAAAACTTTTCCGCTTGTTTCGTTCCTCAGCCGGCGGAAAACGACAAATGTGTAGTGTAGACATATTAGCACCTATTGTATACTACTTAGATAAAAAGGAGCTGAATTGATCAACTTACTGTTGCTCCAAGTCCATCTTAAGAGCTTCATTTTCCTGAATAAGCTGAGTGACTTGAGCCTTCAGATGTTCCTCACTAGTTTGAGCTAATGAGATTGCTTCGTTTTTAGAATTTATCTCTTCCTTCAACACAAGAACCTCTTGCTCGTGAGTTTCACTAAGCTCTTTCGTTAAAGATTCTGTCTCTTGCTCTCTGGAACAGTGAAAAATTAAAACCTGTTTAGGCCGACTAGTAAGTCAGTGGTCAATTTGTTACATGTATAGTTATGGCAAATGGGTAAACTGAAGCAGCCTTAATTTGAAGATGTTGGTATAATTGCAGCCTCTCTCAAATGTAATTGGCCTTAAAGTAAAGATAAAGGGAAAGAGACCTTATTTTATGTCAGTTGCTCAAAACAAAGACCTAACTAACAAACCTGAGGCTGATGGTGGAGCTCTTTTTACCCCCCCCCCCCCCTCCATCAGTGCTTCGTTTTACGGGAATTTAGAACTAAATAAAGTTACACGGAAAGAAAAGAAGTCGAAAAGAAAGTCACACCTGGGAGTCGAACTCGAGACCTCCCACACGGAAGGCCGCTCACCAACCAACCGTGCTAATCATTCCTCCTGTAAACAGGTTCCTGGCATCCCATCGTCCCCCCCCCCCCAGCAATGTTGTGGCCAAAAAAGAACCCATTTCTACCCATGGTACTCAAAATTCAACTTTGTTTGGGGTGGAAGGGGAGCGGTCACTAGTTTTACTAATACCACTGGAAAAGGTCCCAATGCTTTTGACCTCCATTGTGGCTAATAGAAAACAATTTAAGCCCCAATTATCTGTTGCATGTACGTTCATGTCCAAGACTCACCGTTTGGCGAGTTCTGTCTTTTGCATCTCACATTCTGTAGCAAGGTTCTGCTTTTCTTCAACAAGTTGAGCAATCGTAGCATTGAGTTGGTCTTCACAGGTCTTGGCTGTTACCACTTCTGTGTTTTTACTTTGTAATTCCTCCTTCAACAGAATCATTTCATTTTCATGCGTCTCACTCAGCTGTCTGTTCAATAACTGTGCATCTTCTTCCTGTTTCTGTTTCTCTTGCTCAAGTGCTTCTGTTTTCACTACAGCATCTGCCAGTTGCTTTTGCAGTTGTTCTTTGTCTTTAAGAAGCTGTAGAAATAGAAAGTCTTTCAGTTGTCAATAATCAACAAAAATCATTTTGACCTTGATAAATTGTACTATAAAACATGGATTCTTTGCGAACCCTTAGCCCTGCACTCCTACAATCATAAACAAAAGTCTTTTGAGAAAAATTTGCATTTGAGTCGCTTATTTTTAATCACACATGCCCAAAAACCTCAGTATCAAACAGTGTTCATACATGGTATTAAACTGTACAGAATTAAACAGCATTCCTATAGTATGAATTAACACAGTTCTTTACATATTACAGATTATAACATACAGGTTAAGCTTGACGATGAATATGGCAAAAGCCTTCATAAACGAAATTATGCTTATAAATGAAATGCTGCATTTGGGTACACGTGTAACATTATAACTAACTGAAGAAAATGTGTATTAATGTTTTTCATAAAGGGTTTCATTAGAGCAGCTTACAAAAGATACACCACAGGTAACAGGGCTTTAACAACAGCCAGTTCAAATCAAATTACTTACACATTTGTTCAAGTTAGTGTTTCATTCTTTGCAAAATGACATATATAAAATTATTTGAAGCAAACCTTTTTATAAGCCTCCTCCTTCTCCAGAACAGCATTTTCCCTGTTAAGAATATCACCATCACGCTTTTGGTAGTTCCAGAGTTGACTCTTAACTCTCTTAAACTTTTGTTTCAAATCATCACCTCCCTTTGCTCCAAGATCTCCATCTGCACAAGTTTGCTAACAGAGAAGAAAAAAAAATTAAGTATAAATAAAATAAGACAGAAGCAAAACTAAAGCAAAATAATCACAAAACAGACTAAGTCATTTTTTAGTCACATGGTACAATATGCAATATTGAAATAAATATTTCATAAATATTAAATAATAATTAATAACAATAATAAATTTACTGCCTTGTAAGAATAGGAGACAAAAGAAAAATGAGAATCTTCGCTTGCAAAGATTCCTCCTTTTGCACACATGACATGCATAGCTTTGCAATCTAAAAATCTATTACAGTTTTGACTTTAATTTCAAGTTTAAAGTTCTTTAAACTTTAAATTTTCAATTATTTAAAGTTCTATTCATATTAACTTTTTTAGTCGGTACCTTTCCTTCCTCTACTGTCTTAACCTGAGATTCTTCAGCCTTCATTTTAAACAAATCCCTCTCTTGTGCTAATTTTTCAAGCTGCTTTTTCAATTCCTCATTGTCTCTTTGCTGTGCTCTCAGCTCACTAGTTTTCTTTTCAAATGCCTCCTGAGAAGCAGCCATCTTATTGACTGCTTCTTCCAGTTCTGCTTTATCTTTTTCGTGATAACTCTTGAAGAGGGCATTTTCCTGTAAGATACAAGAGACTTTAAACACCACTAAACTCATGAAAGATAAAGACTGAGTACTCAGTCAGAGTATGAAGTACTGTACCGTTTCAAATCCTTACAACGTCAATTAATTATCCCTAATGAAAATTTTCTTGTTTTCCTCAAGCGGCCCACCCTGCCTTCTCCCTGTCTTTATACAAGTAGAGTACTTCCTTTAAATTGGAGATCATTTCTCCCTTCAGAATTAGAAAAATACTAAAAACCAGCCATTGAGGGAATGGAAGGACTACATGTATGGACAATTTTGTTGTCAGGAGATGCACGTTGTATCTGGTTACTATGCTTTACATTAAAAAAGAAAAACCACTCTCCCACCTACATGTACCTTTCAGTGACTGCTTTTTTAATGGGATAAAACTGAAAGATTATCAGGGATGGGAAGGAGATTGGCTTTAGAAAGTTGGTCAAAATGCCATTTTCGAGGTGACTAACACATAAGATGAAGACTTGGTGAGTTGGAAAGTTGGAATAAATTAATTGCTGGACTCTAAGGAGTGCTGTACAGCAATGTTTTCCAAGGCAATACAAAATAACTGTACCTTCACTGTTGGTGTTTACAGTCAAGTTTAAAAGCTAAAAATTGGCAGTCCTACCATTACCTTTTAATTCCCTCTCCATTTACAACATAATTCATAATTTTGACATGATAAGGGTCATACAAATTCCTGCACCTACAAGGGGCCTAAATTACTCTAATCCTTTGACAAACAAGCTGATAAAAATATAAAATTCTATTTATACCCACCTGCCTGTACATCTCCTCCTTCTCTAGAATGGCTTTTTCCCTGGCCTGAATTTCTTTCTCCTGGTTTTGGTACATGTTTAGCTGATGACTTAGTTTAGCATACTTTTCCCTAATTTCTGTGTCTTCTACAACTCCAAATGCTTCTTCTGCACATGCCTGTATAGAGATAAAGGATGTTTTAGGGCATCAAGTGACTGCCTTATATCTTTTATGCAGAAACTCCACCCCAATCAAGTTTGCTCACAACATAAAAAAAATTCAATTAACGTGCTTTAAATTACTAAGAAATTAATACAAACCTTGGCTTCCTCAAGGTGCGTCTGAAATTCTTCAAGCTTCTTTTTGTAAGTATCTCGCTCATGTGTCATGTTGATCAGTTGTTCCTTTAGCTCAGCACCCTCGTTACCCTCATGAGATGGTTGTGCCGTCTGTTCAGCTGCCTTCACTGCTTGCTCTGTGTTGGAGCTTTCCTGTGTCCAAAGACAGTGTTACATGTATGTGAACATTTGCTCTTCATACAGAATTTGGTAAAATAGTAAAGTGATCATAATATAAATTTGTAAATTAAATTGCAGACTTGGTCAACCGATACTTGTGGATTACCATGAGCAATATTGCTCAAGGGATGGGTAAAGATAAATAATGATTTATTACTAGGGTATCTAAAAGATAGTAATGCTGCGGCACATTCTGTTGATACTGGCATTAGTTAGCCAGTGAGAATTAAAAGAATCGAAAATGACATTGAATGTCCTATTTACATGTTGGAAAGTACTAGAATAATTACTATCAGTCTATAGAAAGAACTCGTGGGAACGTTGTTTAGAAAATGATCAAGTGGTCATAACTCTGGTTTTCCTACAGTAAATTGTAGGAAATAATAGAAATTCAGATTGTTTATCCATATATTTAATATACGGTGCACAATATTTTCTCCCGAAAAACATACTTTTCTTGCTGTTTGTTGCACTTTATTAAGAAACAGTTATTTAGCTATATATTTATAGAAAACAACGACACAAAAAACGGGAAAAAAAAGAAAAAAGGAAAGAAGAATTCGGTAGGATTCGAACCCTGCACCTTCGGCCCGACGCGACTACACCTAACCACTACACCACAGAGGCTGATTACGTAATTCAGGGGAAAAGTCTTTCACTTTATTCCTTTTCCATGAAACTTCCGCCGGCACGATGATCGCCAGCCGCATTAACCGAGCTATTAACAGTGAAAAAACAATGTACACGCATATTCCATGGCAATGAATGAATGAAAGAACATAATTATGCTTTTCAAAACGCCGATACACGCCCTCGTCTGCAAAGTAGGACACAAAACATATGTTTTGTTATCTCGATTTCCGCTGTTATTTTGAAGCGAATGGTCAAAATCACATCCATTTTCGGCTCATACAGTTTCTTAAGAATAGCACTGCATGACATTTTCTCACTTTCACATCACCTTCTAGCAAACTGGAATTTGTATATCCCCCGTTTTGCGGAGTCGAAGAGCAAATGCTCATCTTCTCGTCAGGTTTAACACCTGGACGAGTCAAAGGCTCTTGAATTAAAATCCAATCCCCAAGTTAACCATCGTACTCATCTGAAAGACTCCTGCGTGCCTTAAAATTTGGTTAGACCTCTAACCGTGCTGTAGAAAATTTGCCACAAAGAAAACTCTAAGTCTGAGCAGCGAACGATGCACTCTCTCACCCAACGAACTTCTCCATGTTTTTTTTTTGAGTTGTTTGTGGCGCAATGCACTCTGGTTAAATGCAATGCATTGTGGTAAAAAGTGATGAATTCGAGAATTCGTCACCCCTTATATATTTCCTTTAAATCCTGATTATGTTGCTGCTCGCTCCCTTCGGTCGCTCCGCAGCAATAATAAGACAAGAATTATCTCTTTTTTTATTTTATTATTACTATAAGTGAGTAAAGTAAGGGCAAATCTATCTTTGATTAATAAATGAAAAAAAAAAAAATAATGAGGTTCATGTGAGAACCACCGGACGTTACATGTCAAACAACAGGACGTTGCATCTAGCGTCCAGCCTGGAACAAAGAGGGAGGGTTGTATTCTCGTGGCTTTAATTTATTTTTTTGGTAAATATTAAGAAAACTTTAACATGTACATAAGAAAATAATGCACTTTGTAGAGGGCATGGTAATTTGAGGATTTTCCATGTCAAAATTTCCTCATTAAAAAGGACTTATAAGCAGTTGAAGTCAGCAGTTATCCCTACCTTTGTTTGCTCAAGTTCTCCAATCTTTCGTTTGTATCTCTCATTCTCAAGTTTCTCAGACTCAAGTTCCTCCTTCAGTCTCGTCAAAACTCCAGTTTGTATTTCAAGCTGCTGCGAGAGCTCTGTGATTTGCTCCAAGTCCTTACCAGCCTCTTCTGATGCCTGCATTTGTTCCATATCTGCAAGCTTCTTTACAAGGTTGTTGTAATCGTCCTCCATCTTTTGATACTGTTGCTGTTTTTGTTCACTCTCAATCTTTATTTTCTCCAGATCCACCACCAGTATTTCTTTTTCCGTTTCTAGTTTGCTGTATTTCTCTTGTATAACCTCAACACTGACCTGATCTGAGGGTGAGGTTGGTAGAGAGTCCTCGGAAACAAGAGTACCAAATTCATCAGCCTCAATGCTCTACAAGGAAATGAGAAAAAAAGATAAAAAAACAGCAAGAACCAAATAACGTACTACCGTGTCACCCACACCTGAAAATAAACACTTCATTTAAACAAAATTAAGCTGGCCATTCAGACAGTCAGCAGATCATTAGATACTGTTTTTGGCTGTTCTATACTGTACTCTAGTCAATAATAAGGTTTAACGAACTGTGTTAGACAGAAAGCTAATAACTATTGTCTTGTAACAGCTAAAATAAAGAATTCTATTACTTTTCTTTAGCGTGTGTATTAATACAGTTTAGTAACAAAATCACATTAATAACAATAACAATTAACAATCATGATGTATCAAGTTGGAATTAGAAAGCAATATATCATGTGTGTAATCAATAAAATAATTGAATTCCACTATATTATTCAACCAATTAAATTGATTAGTTGATATGGATGGACATTATTGCTTATATTAGACATCAGTCTTATAAACACACTAAGCTTAGGGAGTCAAAGAATATTATTACACGTTACAAATGCGTATAATGCATCCATAGCTAGGAGCTTTTGTTTATCATTTAAATACATACATAGAGGATATCACATGGCTGCGCGGAGATATGAAATTTCTCTCCAAGTGGTGAATAATATTTCACGAGTGACATCCATGTAATGTTCAATTTATTATATAAACACCAATGAAATACCAAACCATTTTACTTTAATAGCTTTTTGCTGTGAAAGGGCGCAATTTCTTATGTAGCCATAGCAAAGGTGATCTTTTCACACGTGAAGATAACAAGTTATTTTCATGTGTGAAGATACCACGTTTTCACATGAAAGCTGACCTGGTATTTCACTAGTGTTTATATAATACTACACGGTACTTACTGTATCAGATTCTCGCATGACTCGCAGGCATTCAATGTGTTCTTGTAGTTTGCTGTTGCTTGTTTGTAAAGTCACATTTTCACTTTCCAGCCTCTTGATTTCCTCTTCAAGAGACTGAACTTGATTGGGCTTCTCGTCTTGATCATTATGGCTCAGCTTGGATACTTCATTGTCAGATTCAGCAAAAGATTCATTTAGTTTTGTATCCTTTAACTTTGCCATCTGTTCCTCCAGTTGTAAATTCTTGTTCTGTTCATTTTTTAGTTCATTTTTCAAACACGAATTCTTCTCTCGGAGTTTCTTCACCACCTCTTTAGCCTGGTCATACCCTTTACGCAGATGATCATTTGTGTGTTTTTGATTCTTCTGCATTTTAGCCAAATCTTCGAAATATCCCTGTAAAGGAAATAATATTTCTGCAAACCTTCATTCATTTGAGATGGTAGTGTGACTGAATTGTAAGTGTGAACTTAGAACTTAGAATAAATACTCCCAAAAAAGATAGAGATTCTCTAAGAATGGGAGGGCACCGGTCAGCGGTTACAGCTAGCCTGAGAAAACAGCCAAAACCAGTGGTAGCGTCGCCAAAGGTCGGCTGTATTCTCAGGCTACTGTTACAGCCTGTGCAGATGTGAAGGAACCTTAAGTGATCTAATGGCAGGCAAAGCAGACCGCCTAAAACAGCTTAATGTAGAAGCTGACGTAACTCCATAAGGGAGCAGATTCCAGACTCTAGTAACCCTTGGGAAAAATGAATAATTGAAAACTGACACATTTGCCTGTAACTGGCAATAGGTAAGTTGGTGAGATCCCATGAGAAAACCTGATTTTGTCGATAGATTTAACTGCACTAGGAGTTTGACAATTTACTAAATTATTATGAAATTTATAAAAAAGCACTGATTGGTTGAACAAATGCCTGTATTCGAGAGTATCCCAGCCTAAAGACGTAACAAGGCTAGAAGTACTTTTTGTAATGTTATAGTTGTAGCATACAAAGCGAGCAGCATTCTTCTGAATTTGCTCAAGGCGCTTTATGTCAGAGTCAGTGTAAGGATTCCACGAAGAGGATGCTTATTCAAGCGTTGGTCTCACCAGCGTCATATAAGCTCCCTCTTTAACCTCTGCACTGCATGGTTTCAGTGATCTTCTCATAATATGACCAAGGGACTTATTTGCCTTTGCAGCTATCTTAGAGCAGTGAGCACCCCAGCGTTCGAGAATCATTGGTATTTAAAGTTTTGTTTAGCTCATGTGGACATTCCAAGCGCCTTGTTTGGCAAGTGACTTTCTTTCCCCTTAGGAAAGTTAATAAGAAAAGTTGTACCATTCAAAATAAGGCCGTAAAATAATTATTGATAACCAAATACCCCTTAATTACATTAAACTCACCTCCAGAAGTTTATTGTTGCGAAGCAGTAAACCTTTTAATTCTTCATTTTCCTTGGCAAGATTCTGAACACGCTCCACAAGTTCATGTTGATCAGTAGCACTTCCGCCTTCGGTGGAATTTTCACTTTTGGCGATAATATCCTCCTTTGCATCTTCGCTCTTGATCGAAATTTGCGACTGTTCATCCAAGGAACTTTCATCTACCACGACGAAGCTGGTTATGCTCGATCCTTCACTGGAGTGCGAGCTGTTCATCGTTAAAGTAGGAGGAAGGCTGGTGCTTGCTGGAGGTGCTGGAGGAAGAGAAGTCGCCATTGCAGCCATTGACAAATTTGTTTAAGGTTGTTCTGGATTTTTATAGCGCCAACTTACCCTCAGACGAAGTTTTTTACACTATTACGAGAGATCTTTCGGGATTTAACTGTTCTGTGAGGAATTACATCGCATAAAACTCACTTTTCCTTTCTACAATGGTGAAGATGGAGTGATGTTTACAACAGCTCAGTATACGTAGGCTCGAGAAAATTCTTCGATGTTTGCAGTTTCTGCTCCTAACTTGAGCGCCACGGCTACTACAGTTCCAGTAAAGTCGTTAGTTAATGTTGTTGAATATCGTAAGCACTGACGAATGGTTTATAAAGAACAAAAAGTTGGCTTAAATCTGCACATAACCTGCCCTTCTTTGATCTTCTCTATTCATGACTTCGCTTCAAAGCGAAAGCACCAATAAAAGCCCCGGATTGGCGGGGAATCCCCGAACACATTTTCAACCAACGACGTCATCATCCGATGTATCATAGTCTAAAAACTCCATTTTTTGTTCGTGTATAGCCATTATATCGGTGATCATATCAGAAGAAAAAGCAACGTCATTAATCAGGAATATTTGTACATTTAAGCGTCGGGCAAAAAGGACTTTGGTAAAGTTACTGAAGTTAAGGGAGACTTGGATCATATTCAGGAATTTCATGCAGCCATCTTTAGCATAAAGTTAACGTCAGCAAGTGTGGCTTTTAATGACAAAGCAAAAGGGTTCTTATAGTTTTCCAAAACAGACGATTCCGTAAAATAAATAAATAAATAAATAAAAATGAAAGGAAATAAGAACACTGAAATAAGTAAATAAATAAATTAAATTATAAAATATAGATCGTTTTTTTTTTAAATCTTAGCTCCAGAATTTCTAATTCTTTATTAAAAAAGGTTGGCTGTCAGAAACCTGCCACACTTTGCCGTTGAAAAAGTGTGTTGCTAGCAAAAGAAATTCTTCAAGTTCATTATCTCAGCGCTCCCTCTGCGCTAGCTACCATGGCCTACAGCAAGAGTTTATACGATGCATCTGACAGCTCGGTTGTCATCAATGAAAAAGGGAAACCAAGCTTTCACTTTCAACCGCGTGAAAGGAAAGAAACAAGATTTCTACCCGCCACTAGTGATTCAGAACAAAACCGTCGACAACGGGTTTTTCCCTGAACAAAGTATGTAACCGAGGCACCTGAATTTTAGTGAAAACTCGGAAGTAGGGGTGAGGGACTCTCATAAAATAGACGCACGGGGATGCCCTTCGCCTCGCGTAGGGGTGCAAATTGGAGATTTTGGTCTCAGTGAGGGAGTCCAGGACGAAAAGCTAATATTAAATTTTACTCCATCGGTATAGCTTTCTAGCAAGCTTTTCCAAATCAGGTTACTGCTTGAAAGTTGGAACCAGAGCAAAAGAAATTGCTCTCGTCCGAACTTTCTCGACGTGAACTCGCGCGGATCGATACGCTTGCTACGCAGGCTTATACCGGTATCGCTTAGGATTCAGTGTGACCTAGAACACAAATCAAGCTAAGCGCTGTCATTCTGTGTTGAAGACAGCATTCGATGTCAACAAGCACAACTCTTATTTACATTCTCTATGAGGGGTCAAATGAAGCTTTTGCTATCCTTTGGGGTTCTTATTCTAATTTTCCAACAACAGAGTGACCCCCGTGACAAAGAGACTCGACAGGCTGGCTAGCTTCCAGTTCGCTTATGTTTTCATTATATCCTCTATTTTCGAATCCCCCATAATACACTCTGTTTGCCCCCCAAATTTTGCATAAACTTTGTTTTCAAATGCTCCTGGGAGTACTAAATTTTCCCTAAAGCCATTCCCCTTTCCCAAGACAGTAACTTATGATGCAAATTTTGGGGGGAAACAGAGTGTAATATGGGGGATTCGAAAATAGTCTTTTCCGGGCGTTTGAGAGTATGTTTGAGTTGAGTCGTAGCCTGCAGCCAAGGGCGCTAACAACGGAAGCACTCAGTCAGAAGGCAAGGCCAGCAGTTTAGGCCATTGCGAGAGGAAGTCGTAAGGAGTAAAAGGGGGAGAGTCTCTCTCAATATACAACTCTATTTCCTTTAAAGTCATCGAAACAAAAAGCCCTTTACAGCTGGCCATTCACGTGGTACCACCGTGCTGGAGAGCAAAAGTCGCACTGGGACAAGACAAACAAAAGACATACATAATTTTAAATGGTAATTTTCTTTGTTTGTCTTGTCCCAGTGCGACTTTTGCTCTCCAGCACGGTGGTTTTGTACCTCGTGTATGGCTAGCTGCAAAAGACCTATTCATAGTGACCCGACACTATAGGGAGATAACGTGGGCCGTCATCAATCAGCGATGGGCCGAATAGTGACAAAAGGTAGATCGATAGATTGGTGGATGAAGATTAAAAGATATGAGAAAATTGAGTAACATAAAAGACGACTCATTTAATAACTCAGAAACAGTAATCTAAATGAAGATGTGACCATTGTAGTTGTAATCGCTATTTAAGAAATTGCAAATTGACCCCGAAAGTTTTAAATTCAAATATCTTGGAAAAATCAGTTAGACTAAGAGTTGGTTTGGAGCCGGCGTTGAGAGACCAGTTAGTACTTTTTTGTCTGCAGTGGATCACAATTTTCCTCTTGAGGAAACACAATGGAACGCCTGTCTAGGATTTACCATATCAACGCGAGAACTTTTTCTCAAAAATTTTATTTCACTTTCGACGTAAAACTGAGTCGCAAAAAATACAAATTAAATCAGGGGAAATGAAAAATACTCACACTCGTAAAATGACTTAATCCACTGTTAAGAGCCTTATTTAAAATCCCCCTTTTGAGAAACCAAACGCAATCATTTATTCGGCCATCAAAGTTCGCCTGATCATACGGTGCCCAAGTTTACGATCCCTTTACGGAAATGAATTAGCATAACGAAATGAACACGGTGGCATTAACAAAAGACACAACTTTTCCTGCATTCTGTCTTCATATAGATTTTATAACGATAATCTTGGCAATGCCCAGCCTCCGCCCATGATTTGCAGTACTTGTTCTTGTCCTCACATTGAACTGGAAGTGAAAAAAACAAACAGAAAGGTCATAATAAAAGCAAGGTCCACAATTTAACATTTTGGATAAATATCAGGTGTATGTTGCACTAAAGAACCTTCATATTGGACCATTAGGACAAGATAAACTATGATCACCACGTGCGTCTCATGCACTCGCGAATGCTCTTATTTTCTACAACATCGCACGCGCATGCTCTGATTATATTGTCTCGTTCGGCCGATTTGACCAGGCTGTGCAAGCCAAAGTGTTTATATGGAAAAAGTTGGCCCGTGTAGGAGGGTGATCCTATCATCACAATAGGGTTAACCCAGGCGGGTTACTCACTCCTTTAGCCAGGCAAACTGTTTTGTTTCTCATGTTACTGCGCTTTTCAAAAACACGCGAATTATGAAATTAAAAAGCCAACTGACGATTACGTTTTTCGTTGCCGTCAATCATCTTAGCGGACCTTTTAGAAAACAAAACTTTACGTCAACGGGTTCAAAAGGTCATGTATGGGATTTGCCATTGGTGGATTTCGATCCGTTTTGTGTGTTTCTGTGTTTCAAGGTTCGTTGCTTGTGATCGTAATTATGATTGACGGCAGCGAAAAACGCAATTGTGAGGGCGGCTTTTGAACTTTAGAGTTCGCATGTTTGTGAACAGCGCAGTAATAGTTTGCCACCTTTTGTAAGGAAATTTATTTAAAGTTGGCTCGCTCAGGGGAGCTCGGGTGACCTTTGTACCCGGGACAACTTTTCTTCATAGAAAACGGGGCCTTAGGGCCTGTTTATATGGAGGTGGGGGACCCCAGGTAGGTGAGGTAACCCGCTTAGGTGGGGTAACCCGCCTGTCCATATAATCTCTCATTTTAATTTGATCACGTTTACATGATAGGTGGGGTGACCCGCCAAGGCAGGTACCCCAGTCTACCAGACCGGGTTACCCTCTCAGCCGGGGTAGAATTTTGCCATGTAAACGTTTCAAGGTGGGGTAACCCGCCTGGCCGGGGTCGGATTCGTGATACATCAAATTCGCGCAAAATTCACTTTGGCGGTGGCTCTGCATTATTATTAAGGTTAACAATAGAAAGCCATTGCACTGACGGGTTGCAGCAAGAGCAACAAGTGAGTGAAGAAGAGCATTGATCGCCAAAACACGTGGTTTGCCAGCATTTTTCTTGTTTACGTGCTTAGCGACCATTCAATAATCTTGAGAAAGTGCACCCCGGGATGGCGGGCCTGTAAGATTGCATGTAAAGGGGGGTTATTTTTTTTTCCTCACCTAAGCAGGTTACCTCACCTACCTGGGGTCCCCCACCTCCATGTAAACAGGCCCTTAGTTATTCTGGTTAGGAGACAAAGTGAATTTTTCTTGCATAGCATTGTTTAGGGGTCATGATCATGAGTCGTCCGAACCCCGCTTAAGGTCTCGGTAAATGAAAATTTTAGTACACTGCTCGATTTTGTTTTTTTTGGATTTTTGGCATGAGTGGGTCCTAAATTTTATTTTGGCAGAAAAAGAAAATCAGAAAGTGCTTTTTAACCCTTCTAAAATGAGCCTTTTCTGAACTAACCAGCCAAGCGTGGATCTCGCGCTAAATCTTTAGAGCTGATTTTCTCTCACTCTATTTTAGACGCAAAAATCAAAATTCTCCGACCTCCAGTCGGGACAGGTTTTAAGCTATCGCTTTGAAACTTTCAGATATGATGGATAATGATATAGACTCAAAAAGAGTGGGAGGAATTTTCCGATTTCCCTTTGTAACTCATTTTATGTCAGTTTCTTTGCGTAAATCGCGCTCGAGATTCGACTTTTTAGTTTGAAATGCAATAATTCCGCTAATACGAGACATATGCAAATTTCCTCACACCCTTTTTTAGGTCTTTTATCTGTCAATCAGACGCAATAAAAAGGAAGTGAATATTTAACAACGCGAAAGGGCTGGAGAAATTCGATGAAATAAAATCTTTTATAAGGTAATTTAGTCTTTTAGCTTTAATTTGATATATAACTTGCCTTTGTAGCGAAAATACTCGCGCGACTAGAATTTTTTTCTGTGCGGCACCTCGTTTTCCTTTACCGAGAGGGATTCATATAGCTGCAACCATTCATCAATCCAACTAATAGTCACTGCCTCTTCCCCCAAGTCAATTCGCGTCATGCGAATGAGCTGAGGAGGCTTGGAACAAAGCCCAAAATACTCCTGACAAGCGACTGACAAGCCTGACCACCGAACTTGCCAAGAACGACTGGGAACGACGCTAGAGTAGTTACGCTGTAGTTATATAAACTACTTGGAATAATCATGTTGGTCGTTAAAAGTAGATGATAGTTTTTAAATTGGGTACAGGCAGGATAGCTAGGCGTTGGTCCATAGAGAAAAAAGAACTTTTTCCTGTGAAGCCTAATTTACAGAAGGACTCAGCGGGAAGCCGCGCCTTATAGTCATACACCTATGGGCTTAGCCTAAAGAAAAGAGCCGACATGTCGCGACGCCACCACTGGTAAATTTTACCGGCGAAATGACGTCTGCAGAACGAGCGCAGAAATTTCATACTGATGACGTGTCACTACCCAGATCTGGGTAGTGCTGTGATTGGTTAAAAATTTTCTTCATCCAATCAGAAGCACATGTCATCAGTATGGCATTCCTGCGCTCGTTTCTCAGACGTCAGACGTCATTTCGCTGGGAAACCAGTAGTGGCATCGCATGTCAGCTGTTTCCTTAGGCTAACATCTGCTAGATGATATGAGGGACAAGCCAGATGTTATTCACTCACCTGGGACGTTACATTTGCAGCTTTTCGCACACTGAGCATTCATGAATCGTGAATGCCGAGCGCTGCCGCAAAATCCTCGGCTTCTCCAATATGGACACCAATAGTGTTTATCGGTGAAACGACAACCTGTATGATAGCAAAAGATGAACTAACAATGAAATCGGTAATATTGGAAACAATAAATAACGATGGTGATGATGATGATGATACACTGCACTTTGTGGGCGCTGGCAAACAATAATTTTACTTCGTTAAAAAGGAGTTGGTTTCCCGTTTAAGTCAGTTAGGTCTTCATAGTTTACAAACTATCGACGGAAAATTATCCACGTTTGAAATAACAACCTCTTTCCACAAATTTCTAATCTACATATTCATCGGAGGAAATTGTTCAAAATCAAGACGTTTCATCGTGATTGCTGATGATTTTTTTGCTCTTTCGAGAACATCATATCTGTTTTAGACGTGTCAAACAAAAGGAAAAAATCACCTTCCAAAACATTTGTGATTTGGGCATTACTTCACACATTTTTTAGTCTTACCTGGTGGTGGAGGGGTATCAGGCTTTGGAGGGGTCGGAGGGCGATTGGTAACGGGTGGCTGTGCGCCACAGTACAACAAGTTCGCTTGCTGAATGTCCTTCTTACTCAAACCATACCGTTGACCAAGGTTAGTGCGGCCATTCTTGCCGACAATGGTTCTTACTCCTCGTCGGTTGGCAAAAGCCGTTGAGGAGTAGTGCATGATGCTGTCATAGTCATAGGAAACGCCGCGACTGTCGATACGATTGGTGTCATACTTGTGAAAATTGTAGGCCATCCCTGTAAGGATATAATGGACGATATTTACAGTGGAACCTCGACATAACGATCCTCGATATATATAACGAAGTCCTTGGTATGACAAACTATTTTCTTTACCCAAGTAATGCTAAAATATATAGACAAAGAACTCGATAAAACAAACCTCATATTTCTGGCGAACAAATTTTGCCAGCCCCTTGGCCCTTCGTTACATTGAGGTCCCACTGTAATCTAGTCTCCTTCGCAGCCGTTATTAGGGTCGTCACGCAACGCTCCTCCTCACAAATTAGTGGGGAGGAGCGTTGCGTGACGACCCTAGTAACGGCTACGAGGGAGACTAACTGTAATCAAGAATTTCTAGTTAAAAATATTATCAGGTCAGACCTTCTCAATCCGGACACCCAAGGGACGGGACCAAGTGTCCGCACTATAGAGGTGTCCACATTATAAAAGGTAGGAATTGCAGTATGAATTTTGGCGTCTTTGGGATAAAGAGAACTGTCTATTATAGAGAGGTGTCCAGCAGGAGGGGTTCGACTGCATATATTAACAGCTCACCGCTTTGGATGTTGTTCCAGTTGATTGTTACGTATGAGTCTCTATCGGGCCGGGATTGCTCGTGCCAGAGACCAAGGGCGTGTCCTAAAACACCAAACAAGCGATGTGAGATTATCAGCATGTGCTGTCAGTTAAAGAAGCTGTGTTACAATCATTTGTCAAAATTAAACGGCGAGAAATGCCGCCGAACTGAGTTAAACGTAATAAAAACCGCTCAAAACATTAAAAGAAGAAATAAATAACCCAGTAAATACAAAAAGAGACACCGATGGACAAACTTGAAGAAGACTGAAACGGATTGCAATGGCGGTTTTGAAAACTTATGAGCCTAACAGTTTTTCAAAGTTCATTTGTTGTTTGTAACCGGGTTTGATATTGGTTTGATGCTTGGGAGACAAATGTGTGAACCGGAGCTGTGGTTTTGTCAATCACAAGTTTTAAATTGCCAATGCCCAGGTTCCATAGCGCGTAAAGAAACGTAATTAGTATTGCTAACAAAATAACTAAACTAGACAGTCGTGACATAGCCGCTTTCCCGTGGGGGGAGGGGGAGTACTCCCATATAGGTATGGGCCGCCCCAAAGGGTATGGTTTTTGCACCGTTTTAGTCTGAAATACGGGTATAGACTTCGCCCATCTTGGTCCGGAATCGGGTGAAGTTTTCGAGGGAGTTACGGTGGTGTATGAACATATTCGTCGATTGGTCCCAAAGAAAAAAGAAATAAACCCATAATATGCAATTCTAAATGAATTTTAAGAAATCTCTTTGTTGGCGTTCTAATCTCAGTAATGATGATATAATTTCTGTCTAGTTTGTGAACATGTATGATGCGTTTTGTGACCTCCTTCACGTCTGAAAACGCGTGTGGAAAATAACATTTTTGGCGTGAAATAGGGTCAGGATTTGGAGAACCGAGCGGCACAGCCACAACAAGAATTCCCTGGAGTACCCCCGCTTCCCGTCCCTGGACCGTTTTAAGGTTGTAGTATGGCATACCAATTTCATGTACCACCACACCCAAGTGACCACATCCATTTCCAATTGAGATCCTCTGAGGCCCTGAGCCTGGTTGGCGACCTACCATCGAATAGCACCTATCACGGAAAAACAACCAAAAAAGATAAGGCATACTTTGGAATGTTTCTTCAGGGCCGAATTCTGTCACACAGTCATATTATCAGTCACTGCAAATATGCCTTCCTCTTGGCTTTCTCTCGCACATTTGGGTGGGTTCGACTGACGAAGAGCCTCTGATAAAGGATTTAAGAAAAAAGCAAAACCTTACCCGCCACCAGAAAAGAAGCTGAGATAACGGCCGGTATAACTGGAGGTTTTACGGACGAACCGAAGACATTTGACTCTTTCCATCCAATGATTCATAGCGCGCTCAATGACGCCGCGCACCTTATCTATGAAACACAAACCATAGTCAGTCTGAATTTCGTTTAAAAGGGACACACAACAAAAGGAATCCCGTTTTTATTCGATTAAGCGCCCTCTTATTAAATTTTTGGACGTTGAGAGTGGGCGCTTATTCGAGGTTGGGCGCTTAATCGAATAAATAGGGTACCTCTAATTAAGATCTGGAACCATGGTTCAATGGGGCATAATTCCTCCTCATCTCCCTCCGCAATCTGCGTAATATTTCTTATCATACTAACAGGCTCATCCAATAATTGCTTATCAGGAGAATGCAAAAATAGCACTGTAATAAGTGAGCACTCATCTGGGAACTGAAGAAGCACAATAGGCTCATTTCAGCTCGATTGCATTCACCTAGTACCTATGGTGTAAAGACAGGGCTCAAAATAATTTTGGCCGGCCGGTGATGTTGACCGGCCAAACACATTTAGCTCGGTTATGGCTCTTTTCTGACCGGTACCTTCATATAACTCATTTATGCCTTTCAATGACAAATATGCGGTGGCCCATAGAGGACACGCTACCTACATTTTTATATTGCGCGATAAAAAAAAGACAGTTTATCGCGCGATATATAAATCGAAAATATCGCGCGATAAATTGAGAATTGGTACCTCTTTCACATTTCTAGCTTAGAACTCTACATCCCTTTAAACTGTGGTAAATGCACCGTCTTTTGAATATATAAATAAATCGCACTAAACCAGGAAGTTTTCTTGTCTTCTTCATAGCCTGTGTAGCTGGTGGGATAATTGTGCCTGTCAGCCATTTAAGGTCCTCTCACAAACCGCAATGAAAGACTTCCCTACCCTTTCTTATACTTCAGCTAATGAAATCTCTACCCTTTCATATACTTGAAGGTTGAAGCCTGAAAAAGATACCCCTTTCGGGCGGAGCCTCCCCGTATAGGCCATTTTAGGGAGTACCCCCGGGACTAGCTAGGATCTTAGGAGAGACAATCTTTTTTCGCGACTTAAGGTCAGAACTGATAGGTATTTTTAAGAACAGTTGTAAAATCAATAAATAGTTACAGTTAGATGGTGTGATTTCGTAAGGAACCTCTCTGTACCCTCTGCGTCCAACAACAGGCCAACGCAAATCTCTGTTCCTGGTGTTAATAAGCGCTCTCCTAAGTCTTTGATTCTGTTCTTGCGGCTTATCCGTGGGATCCTGCAGACAGCCCCTTGAATTGTCGCCCGGCATCAATATCCCTCGGCTTCTAAGGCTGTTGCGAATTTCTGACGTCATAATGATGTCACCTTGAAACAGTTCATCTCCATCTGCATAAAAAATTAGTAGCTGTGTTACATTGAAAATCTGCGATAAGGACACCTCGTCAATCAGTAGACTACCAGCAGGCTCAGCTGCGCGAGTTTCGGGCACCTTTTAGGGCGAAGCAGGAGAGAAGAATAGGACGTGACTTTTCCTCGCCCCAAACTTGTTACTCTATCGCCGCCTTAGCCGCCAAAATTTTAGCCTGCCTGGCAAGCATCTCCGATCGAGTTATTTCGCGAAAGTTGGAGCAAAGCAAAAAAATGAAATAAAGTGGATGGAAAGGGAAAAATCGGAAACTCCCCTGCCCCTCTATTCCTCTTTTTTGCTCCCGTTCGTCGACCAATTTTCTCAACAACTTGCGCGGAAACCCTTGCTACGAAGGTTACCAAAATTTTTCCCAAACCCACTCGCAAGATGGTAAAAGAGCTACTTTTACTGGTCCGAACAAAAGTAAAGCCATTTCCTTTTGAGCTACAAACTCGTCAATCCGCACCCCCCCCCTCCCTCGTTGATCCGACCAACGACTATGCTTTTATTAGTTCCCTAACTCGCCATTTGGGGGAAATCGCGAGAGATCACGAGCGAGCGCACAGCAAAGGAAAGGGGGAGACGAGAGCGCTTCGCAAGCCGCTTGTTCGCCTGCTCGCGGGCTAAATGTAACACCACCATGCCCAGTTAAACATGATCAGGATTTCTGACCGTGGTAGTATAAATAGGCTACTGATTCCACTGTACCTTATTTTGAATCTAAACATACTCACTAGGCTAGTTTTTGTTTCTTAATCCATACCTCGGCAAAAATGTTGCTGTCAGCAGGTCAGCTCGAGTAACAACGCTAAGCTAATGAGACAAATAATTACAGGATAAAATACACCCCCCTCCCCCCCTTTACGGTCACCCGCTTAATATGCACACCTCTTTATTACAGACTGTTGGCTTTGTTCCCGGAGAAAAAAAGCCCTTACATTTTCTCTAAATTCAACCCTGTTAACACGGACACTTTCCATGCCCCCCTCAGTGTCCGTATTAACGAGGTTTGACTGTAGTCTAATTACTGACCTCCAGATTTGCCGTTGTTTGTTTCTGTGGACTCAAGGATGGTATCAAAGACAGGCTTGGTAGTCTGTTTTGCTGTGAAGAAAGGACAGAAACACTCACAAACTTTAATACAAATACAGGATCTCAAGAAAAAGTAGGCTGCGTAGCAAGCGTTTACGCATGAGTTTGTCGAGCATGTTGGGACGAGAGCAAACGAGAAAAATGAAGGGGGAGGGGGAGTGGAGAGAAGGACTCGTCCTACCCCTTCGATCCTTCATATCTTTTGCTTTCGCTCCAACTTTAGCGCATTAAATCGATTGGAAACGCTTGCTATGCAGGCTAAAGAAAACGTTCTGGCCAGTCTACGTTATTTCCTCAGAGGTTTTAGCCAGATCCCAGTATCGTTCCTGCCGTAGCCTTTTCCAGGCTTTCAGATAGTGGGGAGCGGGCGAAAAATTAGTTGAACGCCTGGAACAGGCTATTCCTGCCGTCATAAGCTAAATCAGGTCTTTAATCCGTTCTTTTTATTCACGTTCTTATAATCTAGCCCATCATAGTACAGAAGGTCAGTCAAGCGAATGTACAAATAGTTGTTCCATTTAGACCGACTGGCAACGGTAGAACCCGCTAGTAAACGGCTGCGTAACAGACTAGGAACCCGCCGGCTTTTCACATCTCTGATGGCAAATATTAACTTCTAATCCTATTGAGATACTAAATTCCATGGGTGCTCATGTTGACTTTGCGTCCTAAATAGATCAGAACACACCAAATGTCGCCGTTGTTAACAGGTCGTCGGAACATCTTCGGTCATTTTCGGCAACCTTGCGAAATCTTCGGAAAATCCTCGAAAATCTTCAAAAATCGCTGGGTTGTTTATGAAATCCCAGTCATTTGACTCAGAGAAAGATGGCGGGTATACCAGAGGGTTTTTTCTTTCCTAATTCCTGATTTCACGGCGAGGCCGCTTTTATATTAAACCGTGCGCACTGGTTATTTCATCCTACGTATTTCGAGAACTGATCTCTGAAGCCAGGGTTAGGGTGGATTTCCACTGTCGTGGTAATTGTTACGTGTTACTCGCGTAAATAAAATAGAAAAAAGTTATGAAGTGCTGCGCTTAAACATGAAGTTGAGCGAGGTTCAACTGTTACTTTGACGCGCGATCTTTCACACATTGCCTCTCTTTTACATATTTGCGAAAGTAAATTTTACACAGGTACCACAGGCATCCCAAGCTCACGTAACGAGTGTGTCGTGTCAATTTTCTCACAAGAGAGTCGGTGTCGCTTTACATTTAGCGACCGTTGAGACTTTGTATGAGAAATAAAATACTGAAGTCTGTGAAAGCTAAATATCATTTTCTTTTTTACGTTTTTCTATGAAATAAATAAAGGAGACTTACCTTTGATGTATTTCATCTTAGGTAAGTCTCCTTTATTTATTTTATAAAGAAAAAGTAAAAATATAACGATATTTAGCGTTCACAGACCTCAGTATTTTATTTCTCATACAAAGTCTCAACGGTAGCTAAATGTAACGCGACACCGACTCTCTTGTGAGAAAATTCACATAACACACTCGTAACGTGAGCTTGGGATGCCTGTGCACGTACGCACATAAAAATTACTCGACAGTAGAAATCCCCCGGGAAATCCACCCACTGCTGCTAAAATATTTTAGAGCGCAGTGACGAAGACGAAAGGGCCCTAGCTCTCAGAAACCTTTGACGCGCTTGCCACTTAACTACTTATTGACCAGAAAAATAAGGAACTGCTTGTGTTATTTTATTTATTTGCTTGGAGATTGAGACTACAGTATTTCTTGCCTCCTGCTGACACAAACACATTCACACGCATTATGCGAAATAAGAAATGTTCCCTTACCACAAAGTCCAAATCGTTTATGCTTATCATAGTCTTCGTCCAGTGAGCACCACTCGCGGTTAAAGTCCTTTGTGATGCAGTCGTAATAGGTTTCTCCGCGATATGTGAAGGGAAACACACAGCATTCTCCACTGGTTGTGTTCCGTGTGTCGCAGACCTGGTCTGTAGAATAACCAGGTAGAATAAGTCATCAGCTGTACTAAAACATCACTCAACTACTCTGTATTCATTTATTCCAGACTACAATTAAGGTTTCCAGTTCAACATGATATTTCTCTCCTTTTCTTAAACATACACTGATCAGTTTAGCTATTGTTTTGGAAGTGAATTTTGCCAACCGTGCACTCTTTTACCTGTTGGAATGAGATGCGATGGCCGTGCTTCCTCAAGGCGACCTAAGGACCACTGCGAAGCGAACAACAAACTTGTAAAAAAGAGCAGCGACATCGTCCAGAGACTAAACGCAAAGGTTTCTTCTTTAACACAGAAATGGGCGCCCACTATTTTATAGCAGAATTCTAGGGAATGCGAACGTGAGCAATAACGAGGCGTTTGCCCGTCTGCTTAGTTCTGCGTAGTATTCAAAAATATTTCACAATGCATATACGTCAATGACAAGCAGCGGGAGATTTGTTACCGTATTTTTATATGCTTTGTATCGCATCGTTTTAGTCTTTCGTCACCTTTTCTTCTGCAATGTGCGCGCGGCCAATCTTCTCTGACCGGAAACGTCTGGTCTGATCACAGCCTCACGGGTCCACGGGCAGGTATCGTATAGCGATTTCCTGAATATTTTCTCACCTTGCCTTTTCAATAGAAGTTTAAATAACGCAGCTAATTTATTTCCATTTCTTTTCAACCATGAAGCTGGAAAACTAATTATTTTCTCCCGAATTTTACAATTTATAGTCTGCCGAAGGGGAAAAAAATCTTATTTACAGTCGTGAGCCAGAGCATTATTACCCGGTCCACACTAATGCGTTTTCAAAAGTATGCGTTTTCGTTATCATCGAAAACGCATCGATCATTTCGCGTCCACACTACAGTTTTGAAGCGTTTTCGACTGTCCAAACTAGTATGATGTGTATGCGTTTTCGTTTTGATCCGCTTTCAAGAGCGTTTTAAAATTGATGCGTTTTTAATGAAAACGCTCAGCGTATTGGTGTCGACGGAAGGCTTAAACGCATCGAAACGTACGCGTTTTCAGACGTGTGTATAGGGCATTAGGTTTCGAGTGAATGTGAGACTGAAGTTGACCTTGTTCTGATACAAAGCTCTTTTGGTTTTCTCTTCTCTCTCCCTGCCGACTCCCCGCCCCCTCCCCGCTCCTTTTGACTCGCCCCATTTCCTCTTCTCTTTTCGAGTTTCACCATGGCGCTTTCGCGAGCAAAACATTCTCGCGCCCGATGAAACCGCCTGCACTGCAGGCCAGGTGTGTGGTGTAGCGATGTAAAGGACTATAAAAGGTGAGAAACAAATGACCTGGTTTTCGTCTCCAGTTCATTCATTGTTTAATACCGGTATTTTCCGTGCAAAATTATGACACATCTGTCATTTCCTGTCAGGCGGTTTCTAGGTGTCCTGGATTATTTTAATAAAATACAACATTGAAAAAAATACAATTTTGAAAGTGAGAAAAAATTATGTTAAAAAAGCAAACTGACTGACTAACAAATAATGCATCAATTAGAAAAAAAAATGTCTGCGAGCAGTGTCTTCCTATTTCTATAAAGGGAATATGAGACCGTGCGTGAGACTTACCAACTACCACGTACCTCGTTAGTACCTTATCAGTGGTAGTGACCCTGTGAATGTCAAGGTTAATTGGTAGAATACCACATACTGAGGAGCGAAATAAAGTAACTTTTAATGCATTTTATTAAAAAAAACAATAGATGCAGAACGGGCGTTTTTTTTTTTCGCGTTTTTCGGCGAGCGAAAGCACGCGGCCTGTTCCAGGCGTTAAGACCCCTTTCGCTGTTTTTCCTGTTCACATCTCCTTGCGCCTCAGGCCACAATCTGAACGCCTGGAACAGATTAGCAAGCGCGAGGCGAGCGAAGCACCAGACACGAGTCTCACGCCCGCTTTGTTAGCCTCCTGAGGGGAGGGGGGTCTGTACACAGGCCACCGCTCTGTGTTACGTTCGTTCGAAAAACGCGCAAAACAACCCCTGTTCGGCAGGCTAAACGATGCTAGTCGAACAAGCGTTACTAATTATTCTGCCTTTTACTTACTAGTTCAGCAATTGTAAGTGTGAAAAGAATCTCATGACCAACTCCGCACTGGTAAAACAGCACCCCAGGCGGACTGGCGCAATAACATTTTATATGGGGAGGTTCCGCCTCGAGGTTCAACGTCTTACACTTTTATATACACCATTTTTTGACAGAAAAGGTAACCCTTGTTGGTGTGTTTCCTAACCGGCTTTTAACAACCTAATCGAGATGATGATGATGATGGTGATGATGATGATGAATGAAATAGTGAGATTGTATACCCTGTTCAGCGCCAAGTGCCCCAGGCAAGTGCCCCTTCACGGGTAGACCTAAAAAGGGAGTGCCGCGCCTAGTCCACACTAATCTCGACATTTTTGAAACCGGCGTATTTTTTTATCCTGATTCCTTGTGGACGGAAGGCCGACTTGTGTAAAAAAGTAAACACTTTGGATTCGTGTGGACGTTCCGCTTGTCGGAGAATCCAAATTAAACCCCCAAGGGAGACCAATATGGGTGTGGCTCAAGCTTAAACGGAGATTTATGTGTGGTCTGTATCAAGGCATTTTTTGTAAATATCTTTATGCTTAGTCCTAAGTGACACCTGAATGGGCAAATACAGTGACTTTCCATCCCAATTACCCAAAGTGAAACCAAAATCTGCAATTTACACCCCAAAGGGAGACGACGAGCTTCCCCGTCACTTTCATATGGCAGTCCCCCCCTCCCCGGACTGGGCGTAGCCTGAGACAGACCAGGTCAGTAAACCAGACAAACCAAACTTGATCACAACAATAAAAGATTCTTTATTTATTATCACGGATAGATGCAAAACCTTTTTAGTACAATAACAAGTATCTGCTGTAAAATGTATTCTTCTCTAAACACAGACAAACATCGAGTAGGTCTATGGAAAGACATGCCCTCTTTTGGATAACTTTAACGAGAACAAAAAATATAACAAAACAAAACATAAAATAGTTTAGGGTTGAAGGTATAGCCGAACCTCCCGAAAGCGACCACCCAGTAGGAGAGGTGGTCGAATACAGGAATCGAACCACAGGCCAGGGGTCTCTTCCGAGAGGGGGTCTAGTTTATGGAAGATAATGTATTGCATGTTAATTCTAAGTTACTTTATATGAAGCTCCATGTTGTTAAAAGTTCTTTGAACTATACTCTAAGAACTCTAAGTCGTCCACGCCGTCAGCCCCGAAAAGTGGTCACGGTCGCTTATACAGGAGGTGGTCGTTTTCGGCTGAGAGATTCCAACTGTAGGGCTTTGACTAGAGTGACTAGCAAAATTTAAGTGCCTCGGATGCCGGGGGTTGTCGCTTATGGGTGGTGGTCGCAAATAAAGGTTAATTCTCTCTTGTTGGTGGACTGTACTTTGCTCTAATTTCGCCTTATTTTGTTTCTCATCCAGTACTGTAAGTAGCTGGCTATTCTAACAGTGCCCTATAATAGCTGTACTTCTAACTGATCTAAATTCTGTGTATTATAGAGGTTTGAGTCCTTTCTTCGGTACCCATCGTCTATACTGAACCCTTTGACTTCAGTAGACGATCGGAGTAACTGAGTTGTTAACATTTGTTACAGGTTTTTTTGCAATTGATGGCCATGAAGACTGCGTACCGTCGATCTTTGCAGTAACCTGATCTTGCCCAGGAACTGCAGCTTTTGCGTTTGTCAGTGCAGGGTCTGTTATCTGAAGGAGAATTAAAAAATAATAAAATAAGCAATACTAGAGAATCAGTTCCGGTCCAATCCTTTCTATTCCTTTCTGACTTTGATTGATACGTAGAGGTTTTGAAAAAAACACCTGTTGTGTTGTAACAATGTTATGACAAAGTTGTGACAAAGTTGTGACAATGTTGTGACAATGTTGCGACCCGTGCTATTTAGCAAGCGTGAGGTCTGAAGACGGCTGGATATTGGCCACGTTCTTTTTTTTGTCTCAGTAATAAAAACGCAAATGAAAAAACAGAGAACAATGTTCAGCCATCTAGACCAAAAAAGCTTGGTCAATAAAGGATTTATCATATGGCCAAAAGAGAACTTTTACTGATCTTCGTTTTGAAAAGAACACCTGTTATGTTGTAACAATGTTATGACAACGTTGTGACAATGTTGCGACCTGCGCTATTTAGCAAGCGTGAAGTCTGAAGAAGGGGTGGTATGGGCCCATCTTGCCCGCTCTGGTAGCCGATCAGAACGAAGGCTTTGCTTCATCTTGCCTACTTGTGGATTCAGCGAAGCTCGCGGGTTCAAAATCAGGCCCGATCTCCAACCAAGATTTTTACGATCATTATGGCAACGACCTTAGATCTTTCTAGAATCAGAAGACTGCACGTCACTGGGCAGTGATATCTAGGGCCGTGTAGCCATTAGCAATCATTTGATTGGCTTTGTTTCTGGCCTGCTAAGGCAGCGCGAACTTTGATGCTTTTTTAAGGACTAGTGCTCTCCCGCCAGCTTGGACGTTGAAACTAAGCGAGAGTTGGGGCGAGTCAAAACTGAGGTAATCCAGTGGTATACGTGGTCTGTATCTCACGTGGGAGCGGACTGGTACTTTTCATTTTATAAAAAAAGAGTCAAGATTGCCTGTTAACACTTTTTACGTTTCATTTCCATTCTATCGTAGGTTTATTCTTATGCAGGAGCATAGATCTAGGACCTAAAAAAGCAGGAGCATAGATCTAGGACCTAAAAAAGTGTGGCTCAGCCTAGTCCCTAGGCGTTCTCTCTTACTCCGTTGTCTGCGCGAAGTCTGGGAAAGAGCGTTCACGGCGTGTATCACTCGGTGACGTCACAGCTCATGGTAGAGTCCAGGATTGACCAAGCCGAGAACACCTAGAGTGTGGCTTATATCAAAGGAAAATAATTTTTATCGATACCCTCATACCAAAATGGTTACATATAGTCCTTATGTTATCGCAGGTGCGCCTGCGCATGAGAAGCAAAGATTTGTTTTTTTTTTCCATCTTACCTTTACATTTGCAGCTCTTTTTACAGTTTGTCTCCATGAATCTCTGCCACTGGCCTCTACAATAACCTTTTTTCGCCCAGAACGGGCAGTTGCTGTTGTTGTCTGTGTGCTGACATCCTGTAGGGACCATTTGTACAACTTAAGCATCAACTGATTTTAGTATAATTATGATTATGATGATCGCCATATAACGATGATCATTATTATAGGGATGGTGATAGAGGTATTGGTGTTTGTGGTCGTGACAGGGGCGGATCTTGGGAAGGGTGAAGATGGCGGTGATATGGTTCCTGAGATGACCGACGCGGTTTTAACGAGAACGTCAACTGGTTTAATGAGCAAAAAAAAAACTATGTGGTTTATTGTTGTTGAAGTAGAGCAAGAGACGACTGCACCCCATTCTAAAAAAAATCCTTGATCCGCCCCTGCGTGATGATCAATGATGGTCAGCGATGATGATGGTGAAGATGGCGGTGATATGGTAATAATGGTTTTGGTGGCGGTGGTGGTGATATGATGATGATGTCTATGATGACAGGAGCCCTTGTTATGGACTTCTGATGATGCCGATAATGATGGTGATGATGATAGTGGTCTTACAGGATGATGACAAGGGCTTAAAAATATGGACAGTAGAGATCACTGAGCTAAAAGTATATCACAATGATAAAAAGAGTTCCTCACCATTACAGAGCCCGCAGCTCCTTTTACAGTTCGTCTTCATATAATTCTGCCACTGACCTCCTCTGCAGTGTCCATTTCTGGCCCAAGTAGGACACTTATTGTTATTGTCCTGACAACCTGTTAAAATATTTACAGCGCTCTCAATATTTTATTGAAAAAGTCCTTAGTCTCGCTATGGGGCATCAATGATATACATAGCGCTTGGAACAACATCCGTTCTCCCTCTAAAACGTTCTGCCGTTGAAAAGCATGGACATCCTTAATCCATTTTAGTGTGCAGAATATATAAGAATATAAGCCACCAGATTAATCATTCTGGGGAGCAGGGAAAGGCATTGGTTGTTAAACCAAGTGGCTACCTTCAGCTTTGGATTAAACCTAAATCCAATGAGGAATTTTGTTGCAAAATTGCAATTTTTTTTTGTAAGAAACGGCCTTAGCTAGGGGCCGAGCAACCCCTTTTGGCCATGCAACGGTGTTTTCACAGACCAGTTTATTCTTAGATCGTTTTTCAGGCGAATTTTGAGTATTAGAAAGTCTTACAAATCACTGAGTCAGCAAAAGCCGCAGAAAAAGGTCATTTACCAGAAGGAGGTGTTGAAGGCCGTGGTGGTCTCTGGGTAGCAGGGCGGTTAGTAGGCGTGGAACCACAGTACATTTTCCTGGCTTGTTCTATGTCCTTTGGGCTCAGTCCACGCGTGTTGCCCAGCTTTGTGCTGCCATCTTTGCGCGTGATAGTGATTCGTCCATTTCCAAAAGCGGTTGAGTGGTAGTGCATCACACTATCGTAATCATATCCTACGCCTCGCGAGTTGATAGCGCTTTGAGACATCTTAGTAAACTGAGAGCGAAATCCTGTCGAGAGAAAGGCAACGCTCACAGTCTAAAATGACACAAGTGTTTGCATGACAATTATTATTCTTTGTCTAGGCCAGCAGAAGACAAAACAAAACATCGCTTTTGCCCATAATATAATGTTCAGTACATTGGTAAAATTTCATTCAAACTATACTTAACAGAGTGGAATAGTGATGAAAACCGTCAGACTCCTTTGTGCCATGTTTTTCTAGACCTGGCGGTGCACAACGCTCATAGCATTCCTAGCATTTTGATTCTATTGACCAATAAAAACATCCCAATTTTCACATTTTGCCAATTAAAAACAAAGGATTCCGCACCGTCAGAGAGCTTCCAACCCCGGGGGGACTATCTGAATGGGGTGGGGATGCTCGTCGGAAATTTTGAATTAAACCCCTAAAGGAGACCGATCTGGGCGTGGGCCAAGCTTTTTTGACCCCTAAAAGAGACCATGTTAAAACACAGACAAATGAGAAAACTTGGATTACATGAATGGAGTAAATAAAACGCATTAAAAATACACATATCAAATATATATTTTTACGTTTTTTTCGCGTGCAACCCTAAACGAGACCTTCACGATTAAATATTGACGTTTTGCCCAGAACACCCTAAGTGAGACCAAAAGAGACGACGAGCATCCCCACTCATTTCATATGCGGAGTCCCCCCCGGACTTCGAACATAAACCGCAGCACCGCTGTTTTTCTATTTCATGTTTGCCGCCGTTCAAAACCAGTCTCTTAAAGACTATGTTCAAACCAGACAGCTAGATAATGAAGTTATAAATAATGTTCATAGTTCCACGCACCTGAGGGAATGTTATTCCAGTGAATGTTGATGTACCTGTCGCGATCGGGACGGGACTGCTCGTGCCAAAACCCGAGGGCGTGCCCTGTCGAAAGTATCAGGTAAGAGATTATGTAATTTCAGACTGCGACGAGTGATGTGACTGGGACTGGTGTTATGACTGTGCGAGTGATGTGACTGTGACAGGTACTATGATTGTGATCACCATATATTTCATTGATCTTTTGAGTCAATAGTCTTTAACTGTACACTATAGATAATCGTTTCACAGATGACCGTTTTTCCCCACCCCCAAGCCCTATAGCTAATATGATATTTTGAAAAGAATCAGAAGGAACCATGGAGTCTTTGACAGTTTTTTGGTTGTTGAACTGAAGTCGGCAAGAACAACTGATATGTTGATCCAAATGACGGTTATTGAGCATCGCGTTTCTGCGATGTGCTTCAACTGCATTTGTACCAGATTTTTGCCTTTAATAATCTGAGACGCACATAAAGTTCAGGAGCCGGTGGTCAGCTTCTGACAAAATTGAATAAAATTTAGAGTATCCTTGGCTGTTCTTTCATTAAAGACAGCACTGACTTGAGAGCAAAAAACTCACCGATCTCATGAATCACAGTATGAAGATACTCGCAGCCTCGTCCAATGGAGATTTTCTGTTGTCCGCCAACCCGCCCAACCATTGAGTAGCAACTAACAATTTAAACAAATGGATTACATTTGTGAAATTAATGAAAATATCTGAACATGATTCAACAACTGAAGTTCATTTCTAAACGGTACTTTTGTCTTTTAGCACCTTTGTGGAAAACAATGAACAAGACCGGAAAAGAAAATGATAACTCAAGATTAGCAAAAAACGGTGACTAACGATTATGAGGTCTCTAGTTGCCATCTTTAGAGGACTATTTAGCATCGAATGGCCTTTGGTGGTCATTAACAAAGACATACACGTTATGATCAATCTTGTTATCCAAGGCGGGGTTAGAGAAATAACTTAATTCCCTATGGCCCAAACTAAAGCCTAAGTTTGTCAGATTACTTTATCTATTAACTACACCAAACCTCATACATACACAGTCGATTCACTTTATAGCGGACACTGTAGGGACCTCGAATTCTTGTCCTCCTTAGCGAGAGTCTGTAACGGCAGCAGTTTATTTCAGTCAATCGTCAGTAATTTGTTTTTGCCGGGGATTTAGCTATTGTCCGTTTTATCGAGGTGTCCGCAAGGCGAGAGTTGACTGCACACGCGTCAATCAGCTTAAGTGCTTTCAAGCTTTTCAAACTAATTTTGTCGATAAAATCATTTTGTTCCTCCTAATTTTATAAAAACGTCCGCTTATAGTACTCAGTATAATGCTTCTAATTTCAATTCCAAATTTGTATTTTCTTAAAAAACGGATTAAGAACTGACTTTTAAATAATTGGATCTTGAGGTCAAGTTATAAGAACCTACCCTCCCCCAGCAAAGAAGCTAACGTAGTTACGATGACTTGAGCGTGGAACAAACTTGAGACATGGAACATTTTTCTGCCAATGTTGAATAGCCGCATTGATTACACGCCTAGCATGCCCTGTAACGGGAAATAATCAAATATTAAAATTATCCTGCATAAAACAAAGTAAAACAAACTTATCTAGCGATGAGAATAACTGAGGAGAATAATTTTCATTCGCCTTGGAAATAATGTTCACAAAAGCTGTTTAATCTTGCTAGTAATTTCGTCCTTGGGGTTAGAGAAGACTCGAGGGGGTACTCCCTTATATAAGCCATATAGGCATTTACCGCCCCAAAGGGTATTATTTTTTGCGCCGTTTTGGTCTGAAAACGGGTATAGATTTTGCCGGCCCATTTTGTCTGGAATCAGGGTACGATACCATACCCTTTGGGGTGGCACATACCTATACGGCTTATACGAGGGATTGCCTCCCTTCCCCCCTTCCCCCCTCCCCGGGACAACAGGGCGCTGACCGGTAGACGTAAAAGACTAAAAAGTCTAAGGCTATGTTCCCACCGGATAGCTTTTTGTACCGACACGAAAAGATAGGTCGACTTGGCGTAGATCCGTTCTGTTACAGAAATCGCGCTGAAATCACCGTTGTGATTTGTGAATAGAGGCCCTATCTGGTACGGGTTCCATGCAAAAGCTTTCCGATATAGTTATGTTAGTTAGTCTAACAGGCCTGTTAGTCTAAAAAGTCTAAAAATGACAGTAGATAGTAACAGGCTTACCAACACTCCCTTCCAGTTGGTATGGAACCACAGCCTGACCACCTGAGATCCATCGTCGCGCCAAACTCCTCATGGCCGCGCGCTTGTATCGTCTGCTATTCCCTTGCCCTACTCGTAACAGGCTTTTTTGGCGCTTTGTCAATAGTATATCTCCCTCGTGTAAGCTATTGTTTCTGTCTACAACTGAAAATTAAGCAAAACAAATTCGGATTAGCTACTACCATTTCATCGTAATCATCTTGAGTTATCGTGGAACTCGTAATAAGGACATTCATCAGATCGTTATTTTTCAGTCATATCTAACCGTTAATCTTGTTCTTAATCTTTACAACTTGTTAATCTTTGAAAAAATGTATTCTAAAGTATTCGATCTTTCGCACCCTACAGTTTTTTTTTTCACTGTTATGAAAGGGTGAATAATTAGCTTCCTACGCGTGCAGGCATTCTTCTGGGTCACAAGCCAAATAATCGGAGCTGTCCTGCGATGTTTTGAAGTGAAAGCTCTCGTAAGCGCGGTTCGCCACCACTTTTGGGAATCACTGGTTGGTCTTTCTTTTATGTTCATGTTCTTGTTCTAGCCACTGTGGATTCTAAGTTTATTCATATCGTTAACGAGCGTGACCTGGCGAGGAAGAAAAGCATACTACATTCACTCTCAAAAACTCACGTCTGAAGTTTCCTGCATCGTTGTTTGCTTGTAAAATCACTTCAAAGGCTGTCCTGTTCTCTCTCGTTGCCTTTCTCCCTTCCTGTATTGAACCTGCACTTGCCAAAATACAAAAGAAAAAATAAAAATACCGAAGAAGAACCGCTTGAAACTATGAAAACAACTGTGAAAAGAAGGCTTTGCAAGTCAATAAGTTTTACCACCGATAAACCGTTGCTCGCTATCAAGTTTTCGGAATTTTGCCGAATAGTACTAGCCTTTAGATCTGTTTCCTTTCTGTTATATCACTAAGTTAAACCTCCTTTTGCAATTTTACAATAGTCCATATTTCTACGACAAAACAAGACATTGCTGTGGAGTTAAACAAAATAGTTCAAAATTTCGAATCACTAGAAAACTCTTTAGCAGTGGTTTTGAAGAGGTATTTTTACAGTTTTCTGTATTTTACAAAATAATATTGCTGGGAAGTGTTTTCTTCGACTCCTCAAGTTTGAGGAATTCTCTTCGGGCAATTACGATCAGTACAGTCGTGAGTCCTACATTTTTTGGTGTGTACTAGGATTTTCAGCTATTTTCGCAAAAAGCCGGATTATAATTAGTTACAGGTGCCCTCTGTGTTGCCGAATTTGCTATAATCTTTCCTTCGTGGAGCCATTAAAAGGCGGAAGAACAACCACATTTCTATCATTCAGACCTTACCTGGGGGTGGCGGACTTTGTAAATTCCCTGGACGAGCAAAAGCAGACTTGGCTAAATGCAGAAAAACAGCTACAATAATTGCACGTAACATCATTTCTTCGGTTTCTTTAACTTGCCCACACTTCAATAGTTGAGCCGCCGATAAAGACTGATGAATGTTCTTGTGAGCTGTCCGTCTTTTATAAGAATTTTTAGGTTGGTCATTGTTGATAAAACGACCGGAAAACACCGCTGTGAAATGAGATAACTAATTTGGTAAGACTTGGTTGTGCGTCATACAAGTCAGTGTAGGTAGGTAAGGTCAGATCATCTATTGCTCAATACAGTCCCGGGTCCAGCCGACGCTTTACGGCTTTTATGCTCTCAATCGGACCGGACGGAAACTTCTTTTGCTTTTCCTTAGAAAAAGTGGGCGATATGTTGATGATGAAATTCCTTATTAGGGTTTTTGATGGAGTTTAGGCACAATGGCGACAAGTTTGGGAACTCACAGTTAAGAAAACAAGCGACGGTGACCATGGAAGCTTCTTTGGAAACAAATCAGCTTGCACTGTGAAGATGAGCTAGGAGAGAGAAAATCTCATTTTGGAAAGCAATTAAGAGAGGATAATGGTGAATAATATCAGTCAGATTCCGTAATTTTTTTGTTTTCTTTTTCCTATGAAAAATATCGAAATTGAGACAAGACACATGAATGTTGTTATTCGAGCACGTCAGCAGTGGGATGCGACGGAAGTAACATATCACCGGGGCAACGGTGTATGTATAGCGGTCCGTCTTTTTCAGCCAATCTGTCTGAAATGCAAGATCTAAACAAAATTCGTCCTGGGCGGTTTTAGCTGGATAAAAGGGCATTTAATGTTTTTACCATCTGTTTTACTTCTGTGCAGTCTTGCTTTCCTTCGATTCCGTGGGTGATATTTCAACTCGCGCGAGAGCGCATTTTCCCGGGATTATTTGGCGCTTGGTGCGTGACTTCTTCGTTGTCATTTCGCCATGGGAAAAAAAAACTTTTTTCGTAATTATTTTGTCATCGTAAGTAGAATCTCAAAGGTCTAAGGGGTGACTGAACACGTACACAGGCTTTTTGGGCTCGATGGCGCTGAGTGCTCGGTAACTACAATAGCTAAGTAATGCGCGGAAGCGTGACCTTTCAGACTATAGAAGCAAAATTACTGCAACAGTATCGTATCTATGTGACGTGACTTTGGGTTGCCTGTGCTGGTTTTTATACTATTGTCCCCAAAAGAATGGAGGAATAGAAGATTTGGACGCATTTCAGACACGTGAAGATTAGAAGTAAACCCCTAACCTAAATGAACAGAAATTGATTTTCTCTTAAGACAACTGTGTCGCGGTAATAGAGTGGGTAGCCCGCGAGAGCTGACGCATAAAAGAGCAATAATGACTCTTTTTGGTTTTAAGTGAAACAAGAGAGCAAGGTAGCAAGGCAGCAAGGCCTCTGCTCTCTTCCGTACGAGCTCTCAGGCTGTGGGTGTCAACATTTCATGACCATTTCCTTGATTCTGCTGAGATCTCTGACAGACTTTCCAAAAGACCGTAAATGGTATCACTACGTATCAAAGACTGATACATTATTCGCAACGGTGAGAATGAGGCACGGTCCGCCCTCTATTTTTTATACTCCTACATACCGTCAAGTAGGAGTACAACGTTGTCAGGAACAAATGATCAGCAGTTTCCTGTAATTCTAGAAGGGGAACAAAAAAGTTATCATCACCTTTGTTAAATGCGACAGCCCTGGAAAATATAGTTTGTGCACCGAACTGTCGAATCATCGGGTTTATTGAACCGGAGCTGCCGGAGAAGCTTTTGAGACATGTTTTACAGCGCTACAGCTACTTTGCTGCTTTTATTTGTTTTGTTTGCATTAGCCCAGGGACGCAGTCTGCTGAATCGAGGTAAGTAATAGTACCCTCTACCCTGGGAAAGACGTTTCTCCCTCGCACGACTCTTTAGCGTTTACGAAGTCGTTTGTGTGGCTTGTCTGTCGCGTAGTTGGTTTTTTTACGACCCGTGATAAAACAAACCAACTAGGGACAAGACACCCAAACGACTTCGCAAACGCCAAAGAGTCATGCAAGACAGCATAAAATCTTTTATAGGTTAGTTAGCCAAGCATCATGCAGTGTTGTGAAATGTTTAGTGTACTAGTGTATGGATATACGGTGTGTTTCGAATTAACAGCGCCTCGGAAATAAGAACTTGCAAGCACTGAAACACTAGCCTGCGAGCAAGCTCTCCTATTTGGGCGAGTGAAACGAGTCTCGCGAGAACGCGCGAGCGAGCGGCGAAGCCGCGAGGGGCAGAGGAAAGGAGAGCTTGCAACCATCCCTTACAAATTTTCATTTGTACTTCGCCCAGACGAAGGGAAATACCATTGGCTGAAAAATGACGTTCCGGAAAACAAAGTTGATTGATAACAGGCCAAGCTGGCACCCCCTTCGTCTGTGTGTCAAATTTGCTTCTCAGGGGAATCAGATTGGTACCGAGAACTTGTTTCAGCCCTCAATGCAGACGGGCTCGTTTGTTGTAATTCTCGCAAAGAGAATATTGCGTGCCAAGGATAAGTCGGACCGAGTTTGTAGTTCTTGTGGAAGGAAAATGAAAACCCTTCATCAGTTGTATTCATTTGTGTCAAGCGCCTTGTTTAATTCTGAAAACCGGGAGAGTGAAAAAGTAAAGGAAACGAGAATCAAAGTAGTGAGTTCTTATCCGAGCGGACACGTTGAAGTTCGATGTCCCCGTGAAAAAAAAAACATATCAGTGATAAAAACATTGCTTTAATGCTGTTGCGAAAGCGATTTATAAATAAATAATTCTACGCGCCCTCGGCTGTCTAAACTTACTTGACAGGCGGCACGTTTGCGGTGACAATTTTCACGCTTTGCGGAGTCCCGGGGTTTCCGGGGTGGAAATGAAAATCTATGAGAGATGGTTGCAAGCTCTCCTTTCCTCGGCCCCTTGCTCGCGCGTTCTCGCGAGGCTCGCTTTGCTTGCCCAAATAGGAGAGCTTGGTCGCAGGCTACTGAAACACCTGCCTTTTCACACTTATTCTAGGTCAATTCTCGGAGACATATCTCATGACAAGTGCTGAAAATAACGTCTCGGGTCTCCAAACTCGAAAATTTTTTTCTGGGGAAGGATACCCCGCGGACCCCTCTACAAGGCTCGTGCAGGGCCCGGGGGGTACTTTAGGAATTTCTGAGTGGGGATGTGCCGCTGGGACCGTGGAACCCTTAACCTATACCAGAGCTAGTTCAGCTGAATTTTGCTACCCTATACTAGAGTAAACTCCCCAAATCCCCCTATCCTAGAGTAGCTGTTTCCCTTGTCTAGATAAAATCTTCAACCAACTGATCAGTTTCCTGAAAAATGATACCCTATTTTAGACCCAAACGCTCTGATTTACATACCCTATGCTAGAGTAAACTGCCTGAAAACCATACCCTTCACAGCGGCACATACCTATATAGCCCATATATGGAAGTACCCCCCCGGGGGTGCCGGCACTCGCCATAATGCCCCCCCCCCCCGCCGCAAAAAAACCTAGCTGTGACCATCCACTGGATGAAACGTTACCCTGATCCATTAGATACTGAGTGCAAGGGAGTTATCAACTCGATAGAAATTTATTCAGTTTAGAAAACGATCCACCTTCTGAACAAATGGGACCTGTTGTTTTAATCCTATTCTCTTTCATGAAGATAATGGAACACAGCTAGAAGTCAATCAAACAGAGACCGCAAAATCAGCATTCGCTGTGATCATGGAGGTTAATGGTAATTATGAAAAAAGTAGAGGTAAGATATGTGTCTTATAGAATGCCATACCACACGTGGTCTTTTTATTTTAGGAAGATAATAGTGAATTACCACTAATGATAATATATTAGTGAATTCAAGTATCCATGTTGTAGTTATTTTTTTTATTTCAGGTAATTTTTGTTTTTGGGTATGATAATGTATGCTAACGAAGTTGAAACAAAGGAAAAATAAAAATTACCTGAGATAAAAAATTAACTGCAACATACACTTAAGGATTCTCCTGACTGATCTTCATAGATTTCCCTACAAAATTATTTGAGAGAATTTAATAAAGGATCAAAGCACTTCAGTTTTCTTTGGTGATCATTTTAATAATTCTCATAACCAAACAGTAACTTTGAATATTTCTCTACTAATAAACCTTAACATGATATTTGTACATCCAAGGCCAGGATTGTTAAAGTAAAAATTAATTACAACTGAATATGTCCATGACGAGGTCACAGTGGAATATCTTGAGCTTATTACAATTTCAAAGGCTTTGAATTTAGCCTATAAACAGCTTCGTCGTTTAGATATTCGCCCTTCAAGTACTTTTTACATCAATAAATAAATGTGCCAATATCTCCTAGCCAGGAGAGCAGGCATTAATTATCCTTAAGCACTGCAACGTATGAATTTTAATTTCTCAATGATTATTTAACATCCTTCGACCATGTTCGAGTGATCAGTTTAGTAGTTTATAAGGACGCCTTCCTCGGTGCGTGACGCCGGACAATGCCACCACGCATGCTCCCTATGAAAGATATCATTTGAGCCTGCGCACTGGAGCGAATGAGGAAAGCAGTTGTTCGTAACAGCGATGTTACTTGTGTGACAACATGAATCCCCACAGGGTCCCCATTGGGATGGAGTAGACACTTGGTAAAACTCTATAAAAGAAAATAATATTGAGTTTATTTAGAAATTTCCACTTAGCGCTTACACGGCCTTTTGAAAGACAACCGAAAAATATAACGAACAAACAAACAAAAACAACGCGAAAACAACAAAAAAACTAGTTCACGCTAACGGTGAACTGTGGACAGATTTTAAGTCGACGATTCCAAGAAGATAGCGTTATCTAGATGGCTGATGGTTCTCGGATTTATCGCTTATCCAAGACAAGCCCTTTCTTTTAGGAGAATCCAGGCGAAGCAATAATTTAGATCCAGTTCAAACGTCGAACTTTTAATGTACCGAACCTAATCCCTTCAATTAATGACATGAGAAGATCGACGTTTGAATCAGTTAAGTCCGACATATCTATGGGTCAACCCATGGATTAAGTTCCTGTGGCCTACATGGGAATGTCGACTATTTTCTATGGAGCGACTTCGCTTCAGACGTCGAACTTTTCATGTGCTTAACCTTATGCATATATTTCTCTAATTTATTTCCACGGGTAATAATTGTAGACAATTGTATATCGTGAAAATAACTGAATTAAGTCCGTTTTATAAAGTTCGACGTTCCATTCAAATGTCGAACTTATATCATTTGGGTCGACCCAAATAGGTATTAAGTACGGTAGATGAAAAGTTCGACAGTTGAACTGCCCCTTAATAGCGTTTTGAGGTTCACGGCGCTTAAAGCTGGGTCAGAGTTTCCTACGCAACTTCGAGATAAAAAAAAAATGAAACAAGCTAGCGATGAGACGCGATCGGGTTCCTAAAATAGTCCCATAGAGCAATTCGACACAACACGGACTCAGTCTCGCTCTCAACTTCAAATGACCGCTGACGTTTGTATGTACTTACCATCGCCATACAAGTCTCTTGAGCTTCCACTTGTGAGTGCTCCACTTGAAATGAAAGCATAAGCGCTGTCCTCATTTTCAAACGCCTGAAGGCCATTTGACATTAGATAGCTTTCTCTGAGGTATAAATAAAACAAACCCTTTTTAATGACCAGCAAGTCTCTTTAAAATAATTCTGTCTAGCCTTTGAGAAAAACTTAGTAGGGCTCTTGGTCGCGCAAGAAATTTCAGAGTGCGACCGCTCTGAACACATGGCATTGCGTTGGTGTTTCATTGGTTATTTATTTATAACCTCCTCAGGTTAACGTGTTTTTTCACTCTTTACCCTGTAAATGAAATCCTTTGTGGTGCTGTTCATTATCGGTTGGTTTGTAACCCTAATCCTGCCCTAATTGTTCTGCTGTTGTCTTTAACAAGATATATTGATATAAATGAGCAGGACGAACCTTTCTGTGTTACCAAGGAATCGAATTGAGTCTCGGAATCCCTTTGCGAAAGGATTACTATAAATCTTGAGTCGAGTAATCTGCAAGAACATTCAAAGTTAGAAATTATGTCTATGATTACGAAGCCGGCATTGTGGTTATCATTTAAACTTTTTCCAAAAGTTTCAGTAACTACAATCTCCTGCAAGAGGCCACGCCAGCAAAATGGGAAACACAGAATTTATACAGCCTTCCCTCCACTCTCGCCGCCGCTGAGGACGTTTCGCAGCGGCGAGGAGCGACGAGGGAAGGCTGTATTCGCAGGCTAAGGATTTATGCTTAAATGATGTAACGCAATTGTTTAAAATTCAATGATAAAAGGGTAAAAAAGAGTGCCTGTATATGTACAGTGGCGCCTTGCACGAAAGTATTTTTGCATAACTTTTAACCATGCAGAAAAAGTGCGTTTGAGGATTTGAATTCAATCAAGCATTTCCTAGAGATAATTATTAAAAGCAGAAATACTGAGAAACCGGGCGGTAGCTTTTAAAACCCAAAACAATTGAACCTCTTCTAAGTGTAAAGTAAAACCTTATAGGATCAGAAAAAGTGTGCACTTAATAGAGGTATCTGCCCAATGAAAGTTGACCAAAAGCTTTTATGTTCTCTTGGGTTCACCTTTGCCTAGTCCCTTAGCCTGCCAGAAAGCTCTCCGGGGCGCTCTGACAGGGGCGGGAAAAGGAAGGAGAGTATGCAACTACGTCTGCGGAATTTGAATATCTGCATCGAAAAAGTCGATGCGAAATGACTTTAGTTAAGATGTCATTGCCCTTGGCGCGTGCTTTCATGTGTTTTTCAATGTTTGTTTACATTCGTGCTCGTTTCCGCGTCGCGCTGATCGGAGGAAATCTGACAGTTCAGTCGAAATTGAAGGAGTAATTCAAAGTCCAGAGATTTAGTTGCAAGCTCTCCTTACTTTTCCCGCCTCGCCGCCGGAGCGCCCCGGAGAGCTTACTCGCAGGCTACTAGTCCCTAGGCCTCACTTTTCCACGCGGCGTATGCGTTTTGAGTCACGTGGTCCGAGAGAGTCTCCTGGCCGTTGACTGTATTTGTGACACAGAATTCTCTCTTTTTTTCTAATTCAAATACACTATAGACTTACAAGATGATTCTGATAGGAAGTTACAGCCATGAACGTGGTTTCTGGGAAGACAAAAGTCTCCGCTCTTGTTATATCTGTTTTGTTCTCCTGCTCTTCAGGATTCTTAAGCAGATGGATTCTGGGTTGATATTTATGCATCGAGTTCAAGATGATCTGGAATTTAAGGCAAAAAATAAGGAATTTACTGCTTTAGAAACCCAAAAAGCATGTGGCCAAGTGGTTTGGGCGTGGCATTGAAATTCGGTGATAACGTGCTCTGATCCGCCCCAATATCGTCCTGATCCCTAAGTAGAGTAAGTTGTTTCTCAGTCCCTGGGGGCAGAAAAGTGTAGGGGACGGGTTAATCAGGTTTAATAGTGCCAGACTGGGGTTAAGGCCAAATCGTTAAAAGTATCCTGCGTGGCAGGGGCTTGAAAGTAATGGGCGCAAGAAAGAATGGGGCGCGCGAGGGAGACACGTGTCTCTTTCGCGCGTCCAGTTCTTTCCTGTGCCCATTACTTCCAAGTGCCTGCCACGCAGGCTACGTCAAAAAAGGCCCATTCTACCAAAACTGCAGGCAAAAAGATCAAAGGCCGACGGCCTAGGAATGTAGAATCAAGTCCCTACTCAAGGCTAATAAACGTGCGTTGCGTAAAACAGGTGATCAGGGTGGGGGTATTAACCTATTAAACCCTAAGATCAAACTCTTAATTCTCATTTGTTACCCCTATTCATTTCTTAGAGAAGTAGTGGGGAGAAGTTGATAAAACATCAAGCAAATTCATCTTGTGTGATCATGTCCGTAATTCTCATTACCACTCTGGTTTACAAAGCATTGATATTACAAGGAGAAATTTGATGCTGATCACTCTTAGGGCTTAAAGGGTTAAGGAAACTATAGAGAAATAACGATAACAAGACGGTACAGCACCGTCAATGATATAAAATAAAAGGGCTATGGTTGGTAACTATGCTTACAAGAAAAGGACATTGATATAGATAAATAATTAATACCAAGACTGGCTAGAAATGCATTAACTTCATAAATAAATGCAGGTGCAATAGACAGATTTGCATGTTAATTTGACTCTTTTTAAGCTGTAAATTCATTTTTTAAGTAACAGGTGTCTCAACAAAACCATTTTTGGTGGTAATGGAAAGAGCGTCACGAATTGTGTTTGCAAAAACAGGCTCATGCAATCTACTGACATATTTGAAATAGTAGACAGTCCCTACGTTGTTGCCATAGACGCGTTTCTTATGTCGCGAGCCATTTAAAGTCGTGGCTTAAGTCTAAATGGTATATCTAAAGGTCCTTACTTAGGGTCAGTAACCCGTAACAGTACACATAACACTAATAAGCCTCAGGCCGAAGCTGCGCCTAATTACCCCCCTCCCCCACCCCCTACTCTTCCTATTAGTGCTCCGTTTTGCGGGTGTTTTAAGCTTCTTCAAACCTACACGGAAAGGAAAGAAGTCGAAGCAGGGATTTAAGATCACACTTTGATGTAGTTGAATTCGAAACCTGCCGAGCAAAAAGCAACGAACCAGACGATTGTGCTGGTCCTTCCTTCTGGTGAGGATTAAAAGCAGACAAAAAAGGCCGCCATCCATATTACCCCTCTTGTTCTAGATAACAGATGCGAGGTGTCTCTTTCTTTCACGAAAGTTTTCATTTTTTTTATCATTTATTCGCATTATTTCAAATCAACTGGCACGTACCTAAACGGAAGTGTCGTAGTAGACGCCCCTCTCAGCCTTTTTATAGACATTTCATCCATCTGGAAAGCCGCCTGCCTTATATTCTGCTCGAATATAATAAGGTATTGATCTAAATTTCAATGGACATATTGGCACAACCCGCAGAGAAAGTGGTAGTGTACTAATTGTCCGCAGCTATTTTGGCATTTGAAATATTGCTTTCGTTTAGTTTGAGGAAACATTTCTTAACCAAACTCTATTATTTCGGAAAAAAAAAAAAGTTTTACGACAGTCTGCTATCCTTAACTTCCATCCCGTGACAGTTCAGTTTATATTGGACTTAATAGAAAAACACGCGTACTTATACTTTTTAACTTAATGTGGAAAAAAAAATGGTCCAATTAAAACGCTAATTGTGGCAAATAGAAGTATATAGAATGTTTTGGTCGCTCTGTAGGCTTTACTATAGACTGACACTTTTTGAATATTAAGAATATTTAGCAATGAAATATCCGACGATAAAAAAATAATAATAATAACGAAAGGGGATTTTAATATTTTTGTTTCGTGTATTTAAATGAAAAAAGGGTCTTTTTATTACAATTTCGTAATTTTGAGTTAATGCACTCGCGACTGGTTTTCTGGATTTTCATCGCGTGACCCTAATGAGATACGGAAACACCTCAATACACTAGGAACATTTTTTTAGGTGAATTAACAGAACTTTGTTAAATAAGATTATGTCATATATGGCAGAAAGACTTATTCTTGGTAATGCCTTTACTTTGCTTGGGCGCGCGAGAGAGAGACTCGCGAGGGCAGAGGCACCTTCGCGCGCCCGTTCTTTCTTGCGCTTACCACTTCAAAGCTACTCAGGCTAATTACGCTTCCTCATGGGGGATGGAACTAAGAGCCATAATAGCTCTTGATGGAACTTAAAGTTAACGAAGAAATTACTCCGTTCTAAATGAAAAAAATCAAAGCTTCTTGACCAACAAATACACGTCCCAAGCATGATATCAAGCGTAACAAACAACAAAAATGAATTTTGAAAATACTGTTAGGCTAACAAGTTTTCAAAAATCTACAATCTCAGTCCGTTTTAATTTTCTTCAAGTTTGTCTATCAGATCCATGCTTAATTTTCCAAGTCTCTGTTTTAGTCAAAATTGAATGAAAAGCAGGGAGAAAAGAAAAAGTCGAACGGTAATAACGATTTTTGCTGCATGGAAATCTTAAAGTGTGACCCATTCAAATAAAAGCTAGTCTACGGAGTACATTCCTGTGGCACTGTTTATAATTCTGTCTAAGATGGATCCAACTTTTGTGTCTGTGGAGTAAATCCGGTAATCATAAAACAGCGGGATCATAAGTTACTGAGCAGAAATTTCCTATGGTGCCCAGTTTTATTATGCTGCAGTATAAAAGTGGTTCCAAGAAAAGAAAGAAGTCGAAGCAGGATTTAAGATCACACTTGGCTGTCGTTGAATTCGAAACCTGCCGAGCAAAAAGCAGCGAACCTGACCACTGTGCTGGTCCTTGCTCCTGGTGAGGATAAAGGCAGACAAAAAAGGCCGCTATCCATATTACCCCTCTTGTTCTAGATAACAGACGCGAGGTGTCTCTTTCTTTCACGGACGTTTTCATTTTTTTATCATTTATTCGCATTATTTCAAATCAACTGGCAAGTACCTAAACGGAAGTGTCGTAGTAGAAGCCCCTCTCAGCTTTTTTAGAGATATTTCATGCATATGGAAAGACACCTGCCTTATATTCTCCTCGAATATAATAAGGTAGGGAATCTATCCATGCAGTTTCTGTAGCATTGATCTAAATTTCAATGGACATATTGGCACAACCCGCAGAGAATGTAGTAGTGTACTAATTGTCCGCGGCTATTTTGACATTTGAAATGTTGCTTTCGTTTAGTTTAATGAAACATTTCTTAACCAAACTATATTATTTCGAAAAAAAAAATGACCGTCTCCTATGCTTAACTTCCACCGCGTGACATTTCAGCTGATATTGGACTTAATAGAAAAACACGCGTACTTATACTTTTTAACTTAATGTGGAAAAAAAATGGTCTAATTAAAACGCTAATTGTGGCAAATAGAAGTATTTAGAACGTTTTGGTCGCTTTGTAGACTTTACTATAGACTGACACTTTTTGAATATTAAGAATATTCAGCAATGAAATATCCGATGGAAAAAAAATAACGAAAGAGCATTTTCGTGTATTTAAATGAAAAAAGGGTCTTTTTTATTATAATTTAGTAATTTTGAGTTAATGCACTCGCGACTGGTTTTCTGGATTTTCATCGCGTGACCCTAATGAGATACGGAAACACCATAATACACTAGGAACATTTTTTAGGTGAATTAACAGAACTTTGTTAAATAAGAATATGGCATATATGGCAGAAAGACTTATTCTTGGTAATACTTTTACTCTGTTTGGGCGCGCGCGAGAGAGACTCGCGAGGGCAGAGGCACCTTCGCGCGCCCGTTCTTTCTTGCGCTTACTACTTCAAAGCTACTCAGGCTAATTACGCTTCCTTATGGGCGACGGAACTAAGAGCCATAATAGCTCTTGATGGAACTTAAAGTTAACGAAGAAATTACTCCGTTCTAAATGAAAAAATCCAAGTCTCTTGTCCAACAAATACACTTCCCAGGCATGATATCAAGCGTAACAAACAACAAAAATGAACTTTGAAAAAAACTGTTAGGCTAACAAGTTTTCAAAAATCTACAATCTCAGTCCGTTTTAATTTTCTTCAAGGTTGTCTATCGGATCCATGCCTAATTTTCGATTTGCTGTATGAACAATTTGTATTGTACTGTATTTAGCGAATTTCCTTGCCCAAGTAAATAGGCATACACGAATGAATGGAAAATGGATTCAAGGAGTATTTCAGCTGTAGGCAAAATGATCGTACTTCCATTTTCCAAGTCTCTGTTTTAGTCAAAATTGAATGAAAAGCAGGGAGAAAAGAAAAAGTCGAACGGTAGTAACGATTTTTGCAGCATGGAAATCTTAAAGTGTAACCAATTCAAATAAAAGCTAGTCTGTGGAATACATTCATGTGGCACTGGTTATAATTCTGTCTAAGATGGATCCAACTTTTGTGTCTGTGGATTAAATCCGGTTATCAATCATTAACCAGCTGGATCATAAGTTACTGAGCAGAAATTTCCTATGGTGCCCAGTTTTATCATTTTATTATGCTGCACTGAAACTATAAACGTGGTTCCGACCTTTGAGTCTATGGATGAAATCCTCAATAATGGTGACTATTCAAAGCAAGTCGGGTCATGTGTATTTTATTTTAAGGCATCTCTCGACCGACTCTCAGTCGACACTATCGGCCGTTCCTAGGTCGACATTATAGGTCGACAGTCGGTCGATAGTCGGTCAACACCTCGGTCGCTATATCGTTCGCTATCTACTAACAAGTACTTTCTTGTATTGCCCCATGTAATGGAATCCAAGACACACTGGTATTCTGGACCCCTTGCAGTGAATTCCGGATTCTAGGTACTGGATCCTGAAATCATTGTCAGTGGAACTATGTTTCCGGATTCCTTAAGCTGGATCCGGGATTCCAATGTCCAGTCCGCCCCTCTTGCAAATGAAAGAAATACGTGAGAAGCCTTGCACTGATTCATGGATTTGTCTTGTTCTGTTTGCTATTTTTCCTTGAACTCATATCATGAGTTCATCATGTGACAGGAAGAAATTTTTTAAGTGTTTTCTCAGTATTTTTCCGGGTTGAGTCATTACTCATTACCGCTGGTAATAAGTTGCTCCGATTTTATCCTAAGATTATACCTTGCTCGTGTGTAGAAGTGTGCCAAACATGCCGAAGGAAGTTAAACGTGTCACGGTCACCCAGTTGTCTCATAATTTAATGACAAACGAGTGTCCGTACAGGACTCCGGCCGACAAGAAGAAAGTGAGAATGGTTCGTGTGAGCATCTCATTTTACACCGATTCTTCGAAAAAGAAAACTGATTTAGTTTACATGGAATGTTGCTGCGAACACCAGGATCGAGCCGAGGGATCTCTTCGTGCAAGCCACGATCTTGACTAACACGACAACACTTCAAGAACTCTATTTTCAAACACAGCAACCCGGATCAATTTGTGAAGACTACGGACCCACCTACGTTCAGAGACATGCTTTAAACTTACGACGAAACCTCCGTACTCAAGAGAATCGAGCCCGGAACTTGAATTAGCCTTGCTTGCCTCGACAGTTTTATTAACTTTTCATTTCATACCAGCACAGTTTTTCATTTTTATGTAATCTATATATTATTAATTTCATTGGTGTGTTTAAATATTCGCATAATCAAAATAGGAAAGAACTAACATAGCGTGACATTCTCGGTAAGACAGGAAGTCATCGAACCCCCTTTGCTATATAAAAGGCTAAATCCGCTTCAGTGCTAGACTGCAAAACAGTCCGTATTTTTGCGCATTCAAGTACGCGCGAGCAGTCAAACAAAAGGTCTGGAATGAGGCTGAAAACAGAGAGCGAGACTGGGGAGAGACGCTCTCGGCGTGTGAGGCTCGCGCGCGTAAGACTCTTACGCCACGCTTTACCGATTTCTTTACTGATTTTGAGAAAAAAAGCGACTGTTTTTCAGTCTACCCCAGTGCCAAGAGCCAAGGAAAAATTTCCCGGATGCCGGATTCTACAAGCAAAGATTTCGTGGATTCCGGAATGTGGATTGCGCCTTGTATTCCTTTTTATTATGCTCATGCACGGTGACTCTAACTTTTTGAATCGAGGATCGAATCCTGAAGTGTGGCACTTAAATGACACCTACTGATAATAAAGAACAGTTCTTTTTTTGAGCTTTTTCAGTCAGATTGTGTGACAATTCAAATCAAACCTAATACGCCGTAAGACAATGAGTGCTGCATTGTTCACCTCAGACAGATAGTAAACTGAGTGAAATACGCGTACTCGTGCCACTTCTCGCTGGTAGGCATTTTTGTCTATTTCCACGCACGCTCGTGTATGTCACCCGCTGTACCATCCCAGAAGAAAATAGACGAGTTCTTGTGGTCTTACAAAGCCGCGTATTTTGCCCAGACACTGATTATTGCGTTGTATAAACAACTACCTAGTTTATTAGTCTGCAGGTCTGTCGTGAATCTGATGTCAATTAAATTTTCCACGTTGCTGTTGATCAGAATCAGAAATTATACTTTCCGCTGTGAATTATAGGTATGAGATTATATATGAAAATATTAAATTGATAGCCATTTGATTTTTTAGCCTGCTATCAAGCTCTACGGGGAGCTCTGGCCACCAGAGCACCCCGGCGAGCTTGCTAGCTATTTTGGTTCATTTTATTGAGATCCCTCACTGATCCTTGCCTTTTCCTGGCACAAGAATTCCACATTAGTTCGAAAGCCGATAGCATTTTTGAAATGAACTAGGTTATTTCAATCCAAAACGGATAAGGGATTTCGTGCACTGTGGATTACAAAATTGAACCTAGGATGCTAATAACCGAAGCTCAGTTCAGCATCTGTTGTTGTGGTTGGTATCGCAGTTAATGGTGATACCTAAACATCGGATCATCTTACTGACAAATGGAGCTGACAGATCAAACACGCCGCAACCTCGAAAACTAAAAACACCGAACTCGTGAACAGTTATTGGAATACTTTAAAAAACACTGAAAGTTAGGAACAATTTGCTGAGCAAGATTTTGAAATAGCAAAATTTTGGCATTTGCCTGCACCCAAGAAGTAGGAGTAACAAAGGATTTAGCCATTAGTTCGAGAAAAAAAAGTTTGGGGATAGTAGTGGCAGGACACCTGTGCGGAAAGATGCTAAATTTAGCAGGAAAGCTTAGCCTATAAATATTAATAATAACGGAAATAGTTTGACGATTTTTAAGTGCTATTTTTCCTAAATGCTTTTCTGCGTTTTAATAGCGCTAATAGCGAGGGTTGTTCTGTTAATTGAAACATAATTAGCACTAATGTAAATGCGCTTTTAAGTTTTGTGGCCACGATACAATTAAACTACGCTCCTTAAACGACCACCGGAAAAGTTTGAACATGGACAAGGTTATCTCTCTACCAGATAAGCCTCTGACCTGGGAAATAAGGAAATCATACTTGCTCTATTATGACCTTGGTAGTCAGTAAATATTTACAGCTGTTGTGCACTTACATTTCCCCGCTTGTCATCTCGGTTGTTCGTTAACTTTACTTTCTCAAATGAAAGTACTTGACGAAGCAGCTGGGCCCCAGTGAGGGGTGAGTCGGGATGGACACACGTGACCTTCGGTGGGGCGACGTCACCTTCCCCGGCGACGAACCAAGCTGAATCTGAGTAGGAATAACGGTGTCGCTTTGTGTCGAGCGGGACGATGTCTAACATTACTGAATATGTTGCCTCGGGCTCCAGATCGGCAAAGGACGCACGAAGAGTCGGGAACATTCGCCTGTGAATATGATAAATTTTGCTTTTAGAATCGTCGTTTGCTAATCAATTTGTCTTTCAATCGCTCCCGGAATTGACATCTCGTCAGAATTCAATGTTACAGGTCTAATTAAAGTAGAGTAGTAATAGCCCGGGTTTTAAGATCGGCCATGTTTAAGTGTTTTTTCGTCGTTTTAATTTGTTGGGGTGCGTCAAAGAACCAGTTGTAGTGTATGCAAAAGTAAAACAATAAAACTATCGCTCTGTTCTGACACTGCTGTGTCTTCGAGAATATAAAATTTCAGCGGTCTTTTAATTCGAGGGAGGTCTGAGTGAATGAATGCTTTTAAGCTTTGCTGTGACCATTTAAGTGAAAACTATTAAACAGAACTTAAATATCTGGTACTGATTACTAAGCAGTAATTGTAAAAGGTGTTGTAAATTTTAAGTATGTGGATGAAATACTGCTAAAAGGGATCACTAATTCGAATGAATGTTTAGAGTATTGTCTCTTTTGGTACTGTTAACTATCAGCTTTCTAACATTTGCGTGGATAAAATTCTCAAAGAATGACCGCTCTGCAAATAAAGCCATTTTAAAACAAAACGTCTTCTGGTACCGTCCATCACTTAAATATTTGCAAAATGCATATTTTTTTAAAAAGTTTGTCTTTACTTCTAATTTAGCACTTTTTATTGGTAAATAGACTGTCTTTACGAGTCCTTCTTTTCTTTACCGATAAGAGCACCTAATCATTGTGCTTATCAGAAATGGAAAGACCACACTATTAGACTTGTCAAAAGTCAGCCATGGCGTCTCGCCTTTGACGTCCCCAGCAAATTAGAATTGTCCCTTGCGTGTGTGTTTCCTCCATCGCAAATGACGCACCGAAATGTTGCGGAAAATACGTGCGATTGTTTTTAGTATGACCCTTAGAGTATTAACGTACAGAGCTCTTGTAAATAGTGAGAAAGAGAAAGTTGCATTGAGAAAAATCGCAAACAAAAAGACGCGTAGAAGAAGCGTGCCGAAGTAGATCAAATGGAACTTTGAAACAGAAGTTTATTTTATAGAGAATGCTAAATACAGTTATCCACGCAACAGTAGCAGGTGTATAGCTATAAAGCAAACAAAAAGACAAGCTTTATATTCCGCTTGTTAGCTTAGTTGTTTGTTGTCTGAGCGTGAAGGGATGAATTGGCGAGGGAGAGAGCACGCAAGCAGGTCATAAGAAATTTATTTAGTTTTATTTCGGGTTTATTTGTTCCAAAAATATTCTCACGAAATAGTTTGCCCATTTTATGGTCCTTTAATCTATGATAAAAGTTCCTTGTACTGTTTTCAGCCTACATTTAGTGTCCTTTTTGTGTTTCTTTGAGAAAACCCGAAAATGGTTTTGATGAAATAGTTGTTTTTAGGCTTTTACAGCTGCCTAAGATGTAATTAATAACATTGTAACCTCTAATTTTTTTTCAGAAAACTAAAATAGGGCCTCAAATTCGGTCTCAACCTCCGATAATTTAACAGCTTTTTTGAAACAGAAATTTCGCTTCGGGTGCAAAAGAGAAGTATACTCTGGGTAATTCGCTGGAGCAAGAATTTTAAAAAGTATTCAGTCGAGAACTCCTGTAGTCATTCCCGTCCCAGAACCTCTCATTTTCTCCCCGCCGATATCACTGAACTTATGAGAAGATCGAACTTTCACTTAATCTGTTCGCTGCAATTACTGATGAGAACTACATAAGGGACGGATTTCTGTCCCTCTTGGGTGTTAAAAGCCCCGAGGGTTTTAAACTAAGACTTTCACAATTACGTCAACGCATTTGGTTTAGTGGCTTTAAACACATGCACCGATGATTTGCCTGCAGCCTTGCCGTTTACAGTAAGTGCTGAAAGTTATTCCCAATACTCGAAGGTGTAAAATGCATATGATAGTTCATGAGACTCATCACTGACTATTACACCCATGCGACCTCTCATTCCTCGAAAGTATCAAAGGCAACGAAAACCGCCGCCGGGCGGCAAGTGTGTCGAGAGTTTGAATGGGCCTGAAAGAGGCACAAAATTAATAACTTTTGATAAAAGTGTGCAGCCTTAAGCCAATATTCACTCAACCCATATCTTGTCTAACTGGCTATGGACAGAGCTGACTGACCCAAGATAGGTTGTCCACTGGGATAAATACTCTGTAAGAACTGGAAAAACTTCACAGCGAGTTCTCGGAGCAAACTCCCCGGAACAAGATACCGCGTCTACTATTATACTGCTCAAACTCCTTTGAAGTCGAAATTTGATGTAAATCAGAAGGGGCAAATGGTTTTTATTATAAACAAAAGTTGTTTATGAATAAACGATCCAATTTGGATCTTTGAAACAATAAGAAATTGACGGAGCTTTAATGGCTCTAAGTGAAGCAACAAAAGCGTGCAAAAAAAGTAGTTAAGGTTTCAAATACGCCGGTCCGTCTTGTTTTAAAACCGCTTTGGTAACGCGCGAAAAAAAAAAAGAAATTTTAAGTTTCTGCCCAGTTTTCGCTAGGATTCGTTACGTTTCATCATGACGCGTTCTTCGCAAAATCACTGCGGTAAATTTGATAGCCGTTTTGTTTTTGGGCTTGGCATTTCCATGCGAAGCACTATTTACTTTAAGATTATTTCTAAGTAAAAAAAAAGGAAGTTTTAAGAATGCATAACAACGACGCAAGAACGGCAGAGCATGAAGGCGTTTTTATGGGGCATTGAATTAATATAGCAAACTGAGAGCAGAAAAAAGGAAGTCACATTCTGACAAACAAAAGAATTCAGTACTTCAAAGACGTATATATAAAGACAACGAGAAGAACAAATGAAAAAATTAAGTAAAATAGTATTTTTTTTTTTTTGCCATAGATTTTCTTTCTGCATCTTTACATTTCCAGTATTTTATACTTGTTAGACAGGAGTCCCAACAACAAGTCACCTTGCGAATTAAAAACCTAAACAATTTCTCTTGGGCTTTCGCCAAATATAGGACCTTTTTATGAAAGTATCACATGATGGCAAAATAGTTAGGAACATGATGTGCGAATCATTTCCAAAAATAATATGAAGTGTTGAGTCGTAAAGGCCACGTACTTTAAAAGAACGCTTACATTTCGAAAGGTTTTCACACCTATGGCTTGTTTTTCAAAACAATTCTAGTTTATCTTGGTTGCATTAATTTTTTTTTTAATTATTTTAACAGAAGCTTAATTTTCTGTTTTTGTTTCGAAAATGAGCCCTCACAGACTCTGATAAAATGGCCGATAGCGGGAAGACAAAACAGCATTTTTCTTTCAAGAGTGTCAAAGACCTTGCTAGTTTAGTCCAGGCCACAGCGGCGCATCTCTAAAGAAAAATAATATAACCACAGTAACATGGCCTTGTTTAAAAACATGCTGTTAAAGAGTTTTAACGGATAAACTACATTTCGGGCCATTTCGCTGTCAGCTAGATCACACTTCGTGTTATCGGGGGTATCGATTGCACCTCCATTGTAGAATAAAGAGGCAAAAAGCGCCAGTGACATGTAGTCAAAACAAAAATTTAAAGGCAACGAAAATAAAGTTAATTTAGACGCCAGTTATAGCAAGATTTACTGAAGCAAACCACGAGGGATAAATACTGATAATTCACTCTAATTTCCTCATTTGAGGTAAATAAATTTCTTATCGCGCGAACGTGCAATAAGCCGCGATGAACAGACTGACCTTCCTGTCTTGGTGATTATCATTTCTGTCCCCAGCCGGTAGAAGCAATTCCACAGCTCCTTGCCTTCAAGAAATACCCTTGGTTTAACAGTTTTCAGCATTTTCCTTGGTACGGGCGAGTCGCTGTTTTCTCTTTCCATTCTTCCATCTTCGGCGGGTGCATTGTCATCACCCTGCGGGAGCTCAGCCTCTAGGTCCTCTGTGGACAAGAAGAGCAGAAATATTAGCCACTGAGTGTGAAACTATCCTTTCTTAACCCTAACAAGATATATTTACCATTGCGGACAAGGGAGGCAATTGAAAATGCCTTTGCCCTGTTCGATAAATATGCGGTTTTTCGGCTGGTCTGTTTCTGGGACATTTCGCGTTAACTTCCTCTCGCTAGACGCGAAGTTTAGTGCATACGGTTTTAACACGCATCAACTTATTAAGAATCAACGTTGAAGCAATAAGTGAATTTTACCTTCAGCAAACAATCAATTAAAACCTTTTAACACCGCGCCATGTCGCCGCCTCTGCGGACTGGGTCACGTGACCATGACAGTACAAACATTGTCATAAGCCATCATTTATATACCACGCCACGCTATTATACTGGGATAAGTTCGATAGACCTGCACTTCTGCTTCCGGTACGTATAAACGCAGGCAGACCTCAAATCTTCCAAGAAAGAGTTAGATGATTAATCCACTGCTAAATGGCATTAAAAAACCGTAAACCGGCGATTGCTGTCTTATCCAAAACTTTTAACACCCAATATTTCCGCGTGAATTTTTTGCCGCTTACATCACTATCTCATAGCATGCACTTTCCCGTTTTAGCTTCTACCCATCAATTTGCCTATCCAAACATACAAATGTCCACGCGTTTACCGGTTTTAGTACGTGCTAGAAGTTTTTTTAAAATCCGGTTTTTTACTAATGAGAGTGGGGGGGGGCGGTAATTACTGGCGTCAGATTTTCACCACACTGTTAAAAATTTTTTTTTTAATTACAACGTTAAGCAACATCCGTTCTTTAAACTGGGAGAGGAACCTTCAGTCAGAAAAATTGGTAGTCAGTGCTAGAGATGCAAAACTTTCATTTACAGTTGGCGTATCCAAAAATTCCTCGATCAGTTACCTCGGTTTTATTTATTTCTTTTCCAAAGCTGACACTCAACGACTCATTTGAAGTCAGATGTAAGATACTTAGTTTTTTTACAGAATAACCTAAAATGTGATTATATTGCATACTAGAAAAGTTGGATGTTTAAAGGTAACAAGTTTGTAAACCAGTTCGATTATTAATGTTGCTCAGCGGCGTGCTCCAATTCCGCTAACTATTTCATTTTTTTTTCCTTAGTAGAAGCAAAACCTGATGCTAATCACACCATGGTCGACTACACTGGTCTTTCTTCGCCTGAGAGCATGCTCGCAAGCTAGTCTGAGAGAAGTTAGCCTCTTGATCGCCTGAGATCAGGCCATGTGACGCCCAAAGTTCGTCCAGCATCATTAGCTCTCCTGTTTATAAACTTACTGAGCGATAACTGCATTGGGGGTGGAATGAGGCCGGCCGGCTAACCGACAAAAAATACCCATTATAGTAAAATAAAAATGGTAAGAAAAACATTATTAATTACAGTTGTCGCAGATAGTTCATAGCCACTAAACATTTCTTTGAAGCGTTAAAGCAAGTGTGCCTGGCTCCAAATCGAGGCCCATTCTAAAATGTATCTCAGTCGCGAGATTTTTGCACTTCACCCTTTGGCACTCAAGGTACATTCACGGCAACGCGGAACCAATTTTAAGAATGCAATCTAATTCATTCAGTTACAGTCTGTGCAGTTGAAGGCATCAAACTTTGTAAGTACGTCACTTGCAAAAAAAGAAACCAATCGTGAGAACAAAGGAACTCTACACTACAAAGAAGAAAGATAAACATTATCACTTTCAAGTGCAGGATGGTAAACAACTGATTTGTTTTGAATGCCTCTTTCCACAAAGCAATTATTACTTATCTTTCAGCTAATTTTTCAAGCATAGGAATAAGACTAATTAATTCTTCCTCTCGGTATTAAACAAAAGCCGCAGTTATCGATCACACAATCCCAGAACAATCAGTGCACTCCTTTTACAAAAGATTAGTCTTGTAAACAAAAAACCTCTTAAACAGGTGAATTACTGTTTCTAACTCCCCTAAGAGTTCAGACCAAAATTTCGATTCCTCCCTGAGTGCCTCTGACGGGGCTTCGCTCGCATTCAATTTCCATGAAAACAGTCTGTTCGAGGATGTAACACTAACGTGTGATTGTTCCCGTCGCTGTCCGATTCTGTTGTATTTGATGACAGCATCCTTTAAAGAACATTTGCCTGTTAATGACTCGACAATGCATTCCGATGCATTATCGCCAACAAGTCTTAACGATCACGTACTCTTTCGCCCGGCTTTTTCCCACGCCCAAAAAAAAAAAGAAAATGAAATCGTGTTTGATGGAATTGATAATTCGTCATTGAAAAAAAAAAAATGTTTTCACCGTCATTGACTGTTCACAGTTATATGTTCGAGATCATTAGTCGAAAAAAAAAAATGGACAATTGTTCAGTTATAATGTCGAAAATTTGACGGTAAGACGGGTAAAAACGATCTCACGAAAAAATAGGGGACATTACACGATAATTTCAGTAACAGTAGTGGGTTGTCTAAAACCGCTGACCGGGAAGCCTGATAGGGCGCTACTAATAGCCTGCAGAACACTCGTTATTTTTTGGCATTTCAGGCGAGCAAAGGCAATCGCGAACGGCGCGAAAAACTAAATCCTGTTCTGAGGGCTAGAACACTAGGAATTAGTATCCCAGGGTTTCTGGTTAATGCTAAAAAATTTCCTGTCCCTTCGAACTACCAAAATTGATTTAAATCCTGAAAAAAATGTCGTTAGCCATGTGAAAATATTTAGTGATTTGAATCGACTGCAACGGAAACAAAAAATGACACTTATGTTCTTTTGCCCGGTCATGACATTTCGTTAGCTGATGTTCCATTCCTCTTGTCGGGCGTAGTACTTAATGCTTGCTGACCAGATTTCAGTTGTAGGAGCAAAGTTCTGCCTTCGGTGCGCGAGGTCCCAGCGAGTTCGATCCCATTTGTGACCACAAATCCTTCTTTCGACTTTTGTCCTTTCAGTGTAGCTTTAACTGGCGTTAAATACTCTTAAAAACTGAAATTAATGGAGAGATGGGGTAAAATTGGCGAACGTCGACCTCAAGTTTATCAGTTGAATTCTCTCACGAGTTATCGACGTAAAATATGGTTGCTTTAATTTGCCTTTTTTGAGGAACACTTCGCCAAAAAAAAGGTTTATAGCGCACAAAGACGAGGTAAAAAATGAAAGAAATATCCCTCCCTAAAATAGAGACGCTAAAATATGATTCTCGTTGAGTTCCTTTGACATTTTTTAATAGTTGTTTTAAAAGCTATTGGTAGACTGCTCTTGACCGTGATCATTTCGTGACTAAATTAAAACCATTAAATCCAAGTAGAAACAAATGTCCAAAAAATAAGAAATTGAAATATTTCATTACTTAAAATAATCGAAATTAGTATGTCGGAGTTCACAACGCACGGAAACTTCTCTCTCTTTTTTTACATATTTTATTATTCTTATTATTGTTATGATTATTATTATTACTTTTCAATTTCAGTTTATATGGCAAATTCATCATTTGCGCCTTTTGAACCTTCGTTTGTGCTATAAGAGCTTATAAACACCAGGACACCAGGATAAAAATCATTCTACTCGATGGAAAGGCAACACCAGAAGAGAAAGAAAGTAAAAAGCTTTTGCCGTTTGACTACTCAATTACAGGGTTGGCAGTTAAATTGCGCAATTTTAGTGTCTCTGAAAAGTCTTTTCAACTTCCCCCTCAGTGGGTCGATATTCCATGACTGGCCAGGCTTTTAGGGAACAGAAATGATGTGTGGCTACAACAATTAACAAATATGCCTTCTGTCCTCTTTGAATCCTTGTTGTTTTAATAGAAAACAAAGTATTCTCCGAAATGCTGGTTAAATCAACATCTGCCCTTATTCCGACGATTGAATATGCTCATTAAAAATCATTAGAGTCAGTCACTCAGCTAAGTTATTCTAATTATTATTTAAATGTAATGATGAAGAAAGCTAGCTCTCAAAACACCAAAATAGTCTGTCTGAGTGTTCCCTGCTACTGTAAAGATCCGAAAGCGACCTCAAAAGTATTTCCCTTTTTCTAGAAACGACGGACATTATATGACAAGCTTTATACTAACGTGATCCTATAATAATTCTAAAAGGACATAACAATTTTTTAAAAAAAGCTATCCATTTCTTCTGCGCCCATACAGTAATCAAACAATTCTTTCGAATTCTTATTCAAAACAATGATATAAAACAAGTTTCTCAAAAGAAAAAGTGTGGATGTGTTCATATATTTGTCGCAATAATATTACCACACAGCTTCGAACAGCCCATAGACTATGAGCAATGCATGCGCGCGGGAGCGGCGAAGCAGCGAGACGCGCGAAACGAGGGAGGCAGCCATCGGTAACGCGCGTGGCCATTTGCGTGTCTCGCGTTTTGCTCAACGGACTACAGAAAAAAGAGAGACTGCTCGTAGTCTAAACAGCCCATGTACGGTGCACACTTTTTAGCTAGCCGAGCTGAGTAGTGACCCTCTGAAATATTTTTGTAGTAGCGATACTGAAGAAGGCTGTTAAATCTGAAAGTAACGATGGTCGTTACTTTCGCATCTTTAGCGGCGATACTTGGCTTCTATGCTGCTATCATTGATTTTTTTTCTTTGAATGATCGAAAGTCTTAGGTAATAATTGTGACGTTATCTTATTTTTGACACAATATCTCAATCGTTTCGATTTGTACTTGCGTTGGATGTTAGCACATTTGTGAGCTTCGAGTTGAGTTGCTTGCAGCTGTATCGCTGTTAGTTTTCTGCGATCAGTGGCCATGGCATGGAATGTCATCACAGAACGTTACAATAACCAATTCCAAGTTCGTTACGAATGTCCCAAAGCTCAATGACTTAACGATACGACCGGAATATGGAAGGTTCACTGCTTGTTTTTGTTTTATTTTTTCTAGACACTCGTTTAAAACTGAACGGCCCAAAAGCCCTATTACGACCCTCAACCCCACCCCCCTCCGTCGCTTTCTGTATAAGCCCACTTTAGCTTCTTTATAGCCTGTATACGTATATACAGGTTCCAAGAGAGTAATGTGTGGAGATCGTGAAACTTGCGTCCTATTTTCGCTTGTCTTGTTTTCGCGACCACCTTCAAACTATCTGTGAGCCTTGCGTAGGCTACCTCCTTTTATAGTACTACATGAG